GTCAGGGGCGGGGCAGGGTCATTCTGATCTAATCAAACTGTGTATTGATTCCATTAGATAATTAATGGGGCAGTAGGAGGCAGAGGCGCGAGCTGCAGCCCAGGAGAGCTGAGGGAAACCTTGGAGAGGGAAGTGATGAGGAACTGCCAAGGACGAGAGAGAGAAACCACAGAAAGCTTCTGCTCTGATAGACGAGAGTACAGTCCACTTTAGAAAGAGAGAGAGAGAGAGGGAGAGGGAGAGAGAGAGAGAGATGGGTAGTGCTGATCAGCAGTTGGAGGAAATGAGACTACTTCTGACTTCTTAATGCCATGCTTAAGATGAGGAGAGTGATTAGTATTCATAGATCACAACTCTATTGACATAAAACCGCATGCATTATATATACCGTATGTACTGTATACTGTAATGTTGCTGAGCTATTCACATTGCAAACATATTCAATACTCAACATTTTGAGAGCAAATATTTGCTATTACACTATGCTGTAATAGAATGGACTCTTCAGCTTTGCTTTGAAGAATCCCAACTTTCTAAAAAACTAACAGTTTGGTACGACACATTGAAGTTGACAGGTTCTTGTCAGGATCAGTCTCATCATAATGTAGTTTGTTCTTCAGTGTTTTCATCAAAATGTGTTTCTAACCTCTACCATCACTGTAAAGGGCAGCATACCTTTTAAATTCTGTACTGCTGGGCACGGTTACTCATGACGGAGCTTAGTGTTGAGCCTATACAAAGCTTTGTTTTATTCCTCATGGTCAGTCTGTGTTCAACCAGCTAAGAGCAGAATGGCCAGCTGAAGGTCAAGGTCAAGAAAAAAAGCAAATGCTTCCACAGTTGACCAGGAATCCAACGGTCATCTTCATACTAGTGCGCTTGACATTTAAAGCAGAATGGCAGCGTAACGTCTGGCCTGTAAAAATGGGATGAAGAACAGTGGGATTTGCGTGTGTATGTGTGTGTGTGAAACTGTCCTGGTGCATTGTCTGCGTGTGGAATGGCTTAAATGTGTTCATTTCCCTGTTTGGCCTGTCCGTGGGGATGGGCGGAGCATGCTAACGAAGCTCTGACAGCTGGAGGCCCTAATTAAGCATCCCCTCTGAAAACAAACAGCTCCAGCTCTGCCAAACACACCCCCCACCCCAGCCCCAACATTGCACTCCAGCCAGAGCCCGCACCCACCGGCCCCCTGAACCTGTCATTACTGCCCAAAGTGAGCAAAAATTGGGGCGGGGGGAGCTGAAGATTTCCTTTAAATGAAAAAGAAAATCAACAAAACCTAAAAATGCTAGCTGGAAAACACAGTACTTACAATAGTCAGCAAGACGAGGCATGATTCCCTGTATTTACTTGATTTAAATGTGTGCATAATTTCCGTATGAATAAAATATATCACATCAACACAGTTTTGTCTTACAGTTCACTTACTTTTCGAAATAACTGTGTTGATTCATTAATTCATTAATATGGAAATTATGTACACACTTGAGTCAATTAAATTCAGTCCACTACTTTTTTATTGTACCTAACATGGGGTACTTTAGACTTGCCTTGTTTAAAAAGTAAGAAAAAAAAGAATTTAATTTTTACGATACTTAGCAAGCAGATGCAAAGAGGTACATTACAGAGCAGAAGGATGTTTTCTGTACTCTCTGCCAGACTGCAGTATAAATGAGCCAAAATTTAGAAATCTTAGAAATCTGGAGGTATTATTAATATACTATTTCAATGTAATTACATTAATGTTACATACTTACATCAGTACATAGCTTGTTACATAAAGCATCACATTTACATTAGATTTCCTTTCTTTACCAACAGGTTTGAGTCTCTTGCTTGTTTTGATGTCAAGAAATAATAAAAGCATACAAAGGATGTTTTTTTCTTTTTGCAAAACAGGCTTTTATGCGCAGTTTTCTATTTCATTTAAATTGCAATAAATTATCTTGTCTTTGAATTCCTTTTCTACAAATGTAGCATAAATTGAAAGTTTAAATTTACAGCTTCAACATTATTCTCTTTGAAGAGATGTAATGAGCAATATTTCACATAGAATCACTATATTCTTTTATAATCTCTGACAATAACTGCAACATATAAGGTTTAGAATATTATATTTTATGATATTGTATTTTATTTTATTTTACTTCAATTTGTTCCACATCATCACATTCCTTAACGTTTTGCCGTCATGACTGCTGAATATATGCTTTTTTCCCCAGTGTTAGTACAGAATTGACTTTTTGGCATGGATTTTTATTTATGGAAGATGGTCAAGTCCTTCCATGCCCACTTATGTCCATCTGAGGAGATAGTGAATACGTACATAACCTGCTACAAGGTTATAAAGTTAATTGAACAATTATGGTGGAAGGTACCTCCATTATATCTGGAGAGATAGTGAGGGTGGGGAGAGAGATCCTACCTGATTAGATGAGACGAGATAGGCTAAATACCAGTCAGGACTGATAGAGGGGTGAGAGAGAGAGAGAGTTTAAGGTTGCTCATTTGTGCCTTTGGTCCTACATTCTTTGAAAACTCACAAAATGTTCTCTGAGCAATGCCACGGAAGAACAGCTTTTGGTTCCCGAGTGTGAATAACCTTTTACAGGTTAAAAGAACCCTTGCATACATAACTCATTTAAAATACTAAAAATGGTTCTATAAAAACCCTTTTTTAGGGAACTAAAAGTGGGTCCTCTGTGGAATCACACAAAGAATCCTTTTGGTGCCTTTATTTTTAAGAGTGTATGTTTGTCTCTCTGTTGAGAGTTTGTTAAAGAGGAGTAAATCCAGTTTTTACACAACATGTGCTGGAGAAGTTACACCGACTCTGCAGGCACAGTATAAGCTGCTGTCATACAGTACTGTGCAAATGTAGGAAAAAGGAAAAAAATACATTAACAGAAAATTGACTCAACAATGAGACATATTTTTCAGTATTTAGCCTTGATTACAGCTTCCATTCTTTTCAGGAGACTTAATTTTAGTTTTTCAAACAAAACTGCTGACATATTTTCCCACGCTTTTAAAGTTCAGTCTTAGAAATTGGTGGCATTTTGTACTTCTCACAATCCAAATAATCACATTTATTCAAAGATGGTCTGGACTCTGGGGCAGACAGTCCACTGTTCTGAGGACACCAGCAACTCCTTCATTTGATTTTTTGTTTATTTATTTATTTATTTTTTGTCTATTTCCTTTTCCCAGTGCTGGCTTCTTTACTTGTCTTCTCACAGTGGAAGGATGGACAAACACACCTGTGGATTTTTTCAGATCTGAAGCAAGAGTGGAGCTTGATTTTTGGTCTCTTAAAGTTAAAAGCTTTAAGTACTGTTTATCTGATGGGAAGAGATTTGGTGGTCTACCAGGTCTTGGCAGTTGTAAGGAGTCCATTTTTTCTGTATCTTTTAATCGTTTTTTGGAACTCCACTTTTGGAAACCCATGTTTTTTTTCACTTATTTTTCTTTAACTTCCTCCTTCTTTATGCAAGTGGATTATTTTATATGGCTAATCTTATCAGAATCAACTCCTGAAAAATAAATTACTTAAAGGTCATTTGACTGGAAATTACTTAAACGAGGGCTGGTTCCTGACTTTTGCACAGTACTGTAATTCCACTTTAAAATTTTCCTTGTGTATGTAATATAGTCAAACTAAAGAAGCACACTAGTGTCCAGAGCCTGCCTCTTTAGTTTTGCACTGGAGCCATGAGGCTAATGTAGCTAACAGTAATGGAAGCTTATAGCTGTAAACTGCACACCTACGTGTCATCACTCACTTGCCTTAAACAGTGTGGAGCTGTTATGTAATCTCTTATGGACTTGTTTATGTGTTTTATGACACTGTATGACATACTGTTAGCAATAAACAGTAAATCATTCAGTATCAGAAACTGTACATTTGATATTGTGCTAAAGCAGATGATATGGATCCACATTACTCTCTCACTTAGAGCCTAAGCCATAGTGAGTTATGATGAAGCTGATAGTCCAAGGTTAAGCAGCTGCTTTATCTGGGTTGAATGTCAGGTCATAGGTGGCATCGACTCACACTGAGGTCATTGTGGATGTCTAAGCATGTGTTTGTGTGTGTGGTGTGCCAGGTAAGGTCAGAGGGGTGATGTAAGTGTAGGGCACAGTGCCAGAGTGGTTTAGATCAACGATAGTGCTGAGTGGCGCTGAGGGCTGGCCAGAGGGCAGCAGGGGCTGGAGGGGGCAACACCAGGCTGCTGGAGGGCACGCCGGCCCTTTAAATGTCAAAGGGACAGAGCGGCCAAACACTGGGGATTCCAGCCAAATGGCAATGGAAACACTGGGAACTGAAACAGATTAGTGTGTGTGTGTGTGTGTGTTTGTGTGTGCGAAGAGAAGAGGAGGAGAAAAGAGAAGAGTGTGTGTGTGTGTGTATGTGTACAAAGATATATGTGTATAAAGATAAATATAGAAAATATATGTATTGTGATGCTCTGAAGGTACACTAAAAAGTTCTAAAACTTCTTAGGTTTCAAATATATTGTAGAAAGTTGTGAACATTTTAAAAACTGTTACAATGTCCAAAATAATGAAGCTAACTGTAAATGATGTAAAATGACAACAACATAATATATAATAACATTAGTATCCGAATGCTCAATCCCCTAGACCCCAGTATTATTCCTAAAATTCTTGTGGATTTCTAAAAGTTTAGGATACTGTTCACTGATTTAAGGTTCACATTTTATCATAAAAATCACCATAATGAGTTGCTTTCATTTGAAAGGTGAGCTTTTTAGTATGAAAACAAAACCGAGGAATAGAAATCAACACACACCTGTCAGCCCAGGTAGTGTAGTTTCTTTTTACATATTTATTTGGAAGTTGTATGACTCAAGGACACACAAAATCAAATTCAATTCAAATTCACATTCTCAATGAGCCAAAAATGGGACATAGAGTAGTACTGATTTGATTGGCTAACATTTTTCTCTTTTCTCCTCCTCTTCTCATCTGCAAAGCCCCTCTGCGGGAGGTCTGGGTCTGACATAGCCTCGGCCAGTCGCAGCCTGCGTTTGAGGCGGCCACACGCGCAGGAGCGCCATGGCAGCCATGCCGTTTGTCACTGAGGGGAAGTGTGTGAGTGTGGAGTGGGACTTCCTGCAAGGACTCCTCGCCAAACCACCCACCCTGCCCTGGTGAGTTCTCACACACATACTGACAAACACAGAGATCTCCAAACAAGCTTATTTGTTTATGTATAATTTCATCACATATATATTACAAATACTCATGCTTATAGGACATATTTGAAAAGAGATGCTTGCTCTTTACTTCAGTTTGACGTCTTAAACTATAAGGGCCTGTGTAGGGGCCCGTTCCTAACTACTACTCTTTTCATTTGCATCTTGTTGTTGTCCAAAAAAAAATATTTATTTATCATTTAAACACATTTGATCATTTCATGATGAATGCACCAATTTAAATGGTCCAAAATTGATTGGAATAAAAAATCTTTTCACATTAACTCATATTAAAAGAATGTTTTTGGCTTCTCCTGTAAATTTATAAATATTTTTTATTATTTTTATTATAGTGATAATATTTACTTTGATATTAATTACTGAACCATTTCCAGTAGTTCCTGAATAACAAGTGCTAAAATTAAACACAAAACAATTATCTTGCAGTTTAACCCTCATAGATCAAGAGTGTAGATTTAAATGCAATTACACATGAAAAAGCATGATGCATGTGTGAGAAAGCTTTATTGTGGGGAATCAAAGTATTAGAGTCATTGTGAAAGGTCAGAAAACCTGGTAGAAATATTCAAAAGAGGTATGAACGTATTCAAATTGTAGGAATGATAATAACACTAATGAAAACACAGACTAGCAGAATGCAGGAAAAAGACCAGAGCTAGTCAAGAAGCTAAACACGATATACATACACAAGACACAGGTGAACAGATTAACCAGGGGGTGGAGCTATGAAGAACAGGAGACAAGCCTAGGGCAGAAGAGGAGAGGGGTGGAATATGCTATACATAATGAATTACATCCACAGTCAATTTACATTCTGTATCAGGTTTGAGTCTGCATTTCTGACTTTCTTCCATTTGTTTCAGTGTCAACAAACACATGGCAAAGATGTAAAAGATGCACTTTCTTTATGCACAACAATCACTCTTCATCACATTGAAAATTATAATAAAGTTTCTCCTCTACAAACACAAATGTTTTTTTATGGACTGAAAGTTTAGAATCTGCACTTTCCATTTTTCCACTTGAGTCAATGAGCTACCATCAGGGGTGGACTATATAATAAGACTATATAACTTGTTTCTAGAAATGTTTAATTAAGTGATCTTACTATATTGGCAGATAATTTTGCCTGTTTTGAGAAACATTGCTGATTATCTGCTAATACTGTGAGATAATTTGGTACAGAGTAATGTAGAAGTAAAATACTGAGTAATGAGATTACATTTTCCAGGAAATAATAAGTAACATAATTGCAGTACATATAGAGAGAAGTAATTAGTAACTTATAATAGATTACTTTTTTGAGGAATTACCCCAACACTTTTTTGAGGAATTACCCCAACCGTACATAATGCTAACATTATGTACAGTCTGCTGAGCCTGTGCAGCACTCTGTTCTGACTGAAAAAAATTAAATTAACTTTGGGAGTGAAGCAACAAACTTTTTGCTTTCCTATTCTGGCCTTTCTCTGCCGAGCTTGGATGACTTTATTTGATTTTCCTTCTCAACACTCAGAAAGTCACACAGAAGAACCTCCTCTCCATAATGTAGTTCATAGCTGAATTGCCTTGTTTAAACCAATTTGTCTTTATGCAATTTTATCATCAGGTAACAACATGGAGTAATCCATTATAACCATGAGCGGGGCTGTATTGAAATGGCTGCTACAATCACAAATAACAGTTATTTTTTAAATGGATAAAAATTATTTAACATCAACATTATTTAACATTTAGCATATCTAAATTGTATTGTCATGGGGTGCTTGGCTCATGTGAGCCCCTGGCTATGAATGAGAAATAATTAATTGTTACAGCAACATCAACAGGAAAACAGTGGAAATACACAACACAGGCTATACCTGAATTACAGCCAGTGCTGAGGAAAAGAATTCACATTAAACTAAAGTTTAAAAAAACTTTTCAAAACCCTGCAAGTCTTTCATGAGAAAGCTTGATGAGTCTGACAATAACTGCTCTCAGGATGCTGCTAATGGATGCTCAGGGTTTACTCACCTAACTGGAAGCTTGTCCTGCAGCTTTTGAGCATAATCACATTAATAACAGACATAATAACAAAAAGTGGCGCCTCATTAAAACTGCACAGAATTAAACAAGGAGCTTTGATCAAAGTAGCCCTCTATGTGGGAGAAAAGAAATTATTACAAAAAACTACAAAAGAACACTGGTGTGGCTGTGGAGAATACACACACACACTTACACAATAGGCTACACTCCATACATTACATTCACGTGCCAAAATACATCAAACCATGAACATGTTTTAAAGACCCATTTTTCTTACATAAAAAAGTTTCATATAATACACTAAGTGTTAAAGTTACTCCATATAATCCATATATGGAAAATAAGTTCGAAAAGCAGCTTGTTTGGAATTCACTGTTTCTGTGAGATCACAAAAACACTTTTACACACATATTCACCTATTCAGCCTGCAGCAGTACAGTTTAGCCCCGCCCATTCGCACTGAAGTTATAAGGGGTGTTTCGATGTCTAATGCTTTTCAAATTAGGCATAATACATGGCAGCCAATCAGAACAGAGGACATTTGTATATATCATACTTAAAGCCACAGGGAAAAAACAGCCTGTTTAATTCTAAGGGATAAAGAGAGGTAAATGGTCATGTAAAGTTAAATTACAAGAATAATTAATAAATACAAGAAAAATATGGGCCCTTCAACACAAATACTTAAGGGTACATAAACACCCACAGAACTAACAACATAAAGATGCTGAAAAACACAGTCACATAAGAGTGTATTTGTACATATCTGTGTGTGTGTGTCTGATTGTGAATGCACGTCCCTGGACGAATTGTTCTGCGTACTCTCCAGACTGTGTGTTTGGTTCCATTAGTGGAAGATTAACTAAATTTCAGTGGAATTATTAATGTCTGCTCATCTGTAGGTGGATATAAAACTAAGCAGAATCAATGGCACTGTATTGATTGTGCCTCTCCAGGGTCGTTCCAGTATAATAATGAGATGTTCTAAAAGGCTCTCTCACACGGAACACTGCTTTACAGGCGGTGAGAAAACATGGGACAACAGACAGAGCACCGATCAAGGGAATCATACATGGTCTAATAGACACACATGGACACATACACTCACATGGACACATACACTTCGGCATCCTTCATACACATGGCTTTCCCACTGTCATTTCTATTTTAAAACATGCCCAGGCCGGTTTAAATAAATAAACCAGGATTTTTTTCAGTTTGAGGAACAGGCTTTTTTATAGAAGGCTTTTAGGCAATTTCATTTTTCTTTCCTTGTCTATATACACATTCACACATTTACACACACCCTTTCCATCTCTCTCTCTCTCTCTCTCTCTCTCTTATTCGCACACACACAATCATCTTCTCTGAATTCCTCCCCTCCCTCTTTGCTGTTACATGTCTGCAGCCCCCCGGAAGGAGAATCAATGTCACAGACACGGGTGGGGGGGCGGGGGCTTGACGTCGGCTCTTTCTTCCAGCATAGACACAAATTGTGGAGTCGCCGTGACAACATAATTCCACCACTCAGGCCCCATTGAGGGCGAGTCGATACCCAATCAGAGCGACAGGCTACCTGGCCCAACTCTCAGGCTCTCCCTTCCCCCCATTGATCCCTCAATCAAGACTGGAGGCCAAGAGGGAGAGCTGTGAAGAGCTCAACCTCTGTTTTCTCCCAGAACATTAGCTTAGCATAGAATGGTTTCCCAGGATATTAGCCTAGTACAGAAAATTCTTCAAGAGCATTAGCCAAGCGCAAAATATTCCAGCCTAGCATCAGCCCAGCACAGATCATGTCTCCCAAGATATTAGCATGGCATAGAAAATTTCCTTAAAGCATTAGCCCAGCACAACATTCTCCCAGAACACTAAAACATTCTCAAAGAACTTTAGCATAGCACAGAACATTGTCCCGGAACACTAGCATACCATAGAATATTCTCCCAGCTTAGCACAGAACATTCCTCTGGAACATAAGCTTAGCACAGAAAATTCTCCCAGAATATTATCCTACCATCTGACATTCTCTCAGAACAATATATTAGCACAAAAACACTCACCCAGAGCAATGGCATAGCATAGAACATCCTCACAGAACTTTTGCCCAGCATGGAACATTCCTTCAGAACATTAGCCTAGCATATGTCATTGTCCTTGAAGAATCAATATGGCAAACATTCTCCCAGAACATTAACTTAGCATAGAACAATCTCACAGGACATTAGCCAAGCACAGAAACTTCTTCAAGAGTATTAGCCAAGCACAGAATATTCCAGCAGAGCCTCAGCCTAGCATAGATCAGTCTCTCCAGACATTAGCTTAGCACAGAAAATTCTCTCAGGGCATTAGCCCAGCACAACATCCTCCCGGTACACTAGAACATTCTCCCAGAACTTTAGCATAGCACAGAACATTGTCCTGGAGCACTAGCATAGCATAGAATATTCTCCGATCTTAGCACAGAAAATTCTCCCAGAATATTAGCCGGCCATCTGACATTCTCTCAGAACATTATCTTAGCACAAAACCATTCTCCCAGAGCAATGGCACAGCATAGAACATTCTCACAGAACTTTACCTAGCATGGAACATTCCTTCAGAACATTAGTCTAGAATATGATATTGTCCCTGAAGAATCAATATGGCAAATATTCTCCCAGAATATTAGCCCAGCACCCAACATTAGCCGTTCACAGAATGTTTTTCTTGATCACTAGTCTACCACAAAACATTCTCCCAGAACCCAAACCTTGAGACACACCTGAATAGAATGAATTTTTATTACCTTGGAATTTATTTCCAAAGTCAAAAATGTTTGACCTTTCAATAATTTGATTAGATTTTGATTCTTTAGAAAAACCTGAAATTTGATATGACTTACTGCTTAATTGTAAAAAAAAAGTCAATACACAAACATGAATGGGGGAACATTTTAATTAAACTTTGTGTTTGTTTGTTTGATTTTGATGCTGCATTTTTACATCCCTAGTGAGAAAGTAGTTCTACAGGAGCTGGGCTGGGAATGTCGAGCCTAGCGGAAGTTCTCCCAGATCAGTCTCTCCTGTCATCTCCTGATCTAATGCCAGGAAATGCTAACATGCTAAAGTAATCTCAGGCCTGTACTGCCTGCCTGCAAGGCTGGAGCACTGCACAGCTGATGGAAAGAGGCAGTGAACAGGCTGATCATTCCCTTTCTGCCACTGAAGCTTAGCTGTGCTCTCACAGCATTGATCCCCCCCGCCATGGCCCTGCTAGGCAGGGGAATGCAGGTCAGAGTGCCACTTAGCTCAGAGGAATTGTGGGGGTGTAAGCTTCTTTCAAAACATGGAAAGCAGAAGAAGTCTGGAACGTCTGGGAAAGTATTAGAGGTGTACATTTTGATACCTTTTCTGTTTTTTTTGTTTTCTTTTATCTGTCTGTGGCATCCTGAAGTGATTTTGAAATAAGGAATCATCGAAAGAACATTTATAACAGCAAGTGCACAAGATATGGTTGAACAATTGGACAGAATTTAAACCTGTCACCACACTCTCAATGTAATGTGTCCACAGGGGATAGTGTTTTTAAAGTCGGCCGTTCAGACTTTGGCTCTTGGATGACATACCACTGAGCTGGAATCAACTCTTCTGTAGTGGAAAATGAGAAGGATATTGCAAATTTAAGATGCTTTTCTATTAGTATATGAAATAACCACAAAGATGTGAAGAGTCTTTTTGAGTTCAGTACTAAAACAAATGACATTATGCTTTAATATCATGCACTAATCATATTTATCCACTCTCCCTATTTGTATATTTTCCACTCTCCTTTTCCTCCCAGCTTACAAAACCTGCGTAAGGAGAAGTCACGAAACGCAGCACGATCTCGTCGTGGGAAAGAAAACTTTGAGTTTTTTGAGCTGGCCAAGATGCTTCCTCTCCCCGGCGCCATTACCAGCCAGCTGGACAAGGCCTCCGTCATCAGACTGACCATCAGCTACCTGCACATGAGACACTTTGCCAGCCAGGGAGACCCACCCTGGAGCCCCCTGATGGAAGGGGAGAACAACTGCAACAAGGGTGAGCATTCATTAAGCACAGGGGTCCATTAAAATGATTTCTGGATTGGGTTCAAATCACAGAAACTTTCAAGATTTTATTATTTAAATCAAAGTTCTGATGGCTTTTTTGTAAACTAACCATATGGATAATCTAAACACATCTTCCTTCAGCTTATTCATTATTCATAGCTGAATAGAGACAGAAATTCTTATTTATAATTAAACAGAGGCAATTGAATGAAATGTAGAAAAATGACCAAGCACACTAACATCCAATGTTAGAATTAATTTTGTGTCGGGCTTTGAAATGATGCAGCTGTCTAAGTCCTTTAATGGGGAGGTCGGAAGTTTGATCCCCGCCAATGCCACAGCCAGTCGTTTCTGGGACTCCAACAGAGTATAATTGGTCTTGCTCTTTCTGAGTGGGTAGGATGGCCCTCCCTCCCCTCTCTTTATTCAGTGTGATGCCAGCCAATGCAGGCCTCTGTTAGCTGACAGAGAGTACATCAGTTTGCGTTCTCCTCCAAGCGTGTTGAGCTGTCCAGTGTTGTTGGGTTAGGGGCAGTTTGAAAACATGTGGTGGCATTTCACATGACTTGGCGGACTCATGTGCTAGCCTTCACTCTCCCAGTCTGGGAGCATCTTGTGATAAGGCTGAAGTCAATAATGACTAAATTGAGGAGAAAGTTTTTTAATCTTTTTTTAATTTTTAATCAAATTTTTAGTCTAGTTCAGGGTCAGCAACATGTGGCTCCAGAGCCGCATGTGGCTCTTTTTCTGCCCTGTTGCGGCTCCACAGCAGAATTAGATTTTTAGGCAAAAACAAATAATCCTCCTTTGCATTGAAATAAACCTCTAACCTAAAATAAACCTAATAGTTCTAAGATAGTTCTGACAATAAAGTGGTCTTAAACATTGGATTTAATGTATAACTGCTAATTCACCCCTTAACCCTGAAGATTGGACTGCTGGTCACCATAGCAACGCCGACATCTATGTTTAATCTGCAACCAGAAACTGTCAAACACTAAAAAGTCACAAAGCTGAAGGCAGCTTCTTGTTCGCCTGCTTCTTCTTCGAATTTCCCCGTTCCACCTTAAATGGTGCAGCAGTTGGTACCATTTAAGGTACAATAGAAAAATTCGAACTTTAGCTTCGTCAAAACTCAAACGTTAAGAGACGTTTTACAAGAAACTATTCTATTTTTGTGGAAAATGTTCCTGCCATAGATGTGAGAAAAGTGGCTATAGCGGACCTAAAGCTTAAAGCAGAGCAAAGTAAGTCTGCTTTTTTGTTTATATTACATTTTTTAGCCTATACTAGGACATTAGCACATACTGAGACATATTTACAGCCAAGATGGTAAAATGGACATAAAATGTTATGGCTCCCAAGGTGGTTTTATTTTTATTGAAAGGACAAAATGTCTCCTCTAAACATTTAGGTTGCCGACCTCTGGACTAATATTATATTAACAGTTAGATTACTTTGTTTGTTTATTTGTTCGATTAAAGTAACAAATGCAAAGAATGTACAAATCAACTGCCTCACTAAGAATATGTTCAATGCAGACATCCTCAAACCATTTAAAGTAATGCTTTGATGCATTTCACCCATTGACATCCCCACAGCTGATTTCCTGTCAGTTAGAAACTCCATCATCCATCCACCTTCCTTGGAGGTCAGTTTCCAGCTGTAAGCCAGTTTTGTAGCTAAACTGTTAAATAATGTGTATGGGCTAATATGAAAATATTAAAAAGAAAGAACTGATAAGTTCAACAAGATAAGTAACCATTTAAATAGAAAGTATTAAGGGAGGATGGAAAACATCCCAGTTATTCTTATAGGTAAACAAAGAGGACTTGCAGATTTTTGTGAGATATTGTGACTTGCACGAGGCCCTTATTGACATCAGCATCAATCACAGAGTCAATTCACATATGAGAGTGCTATTAACAGAGGAGGTGGTTGAGAGCGAGCCCAGGCCAAACTCAATTCTAACATGACAGTGGCAGCCTGTCGATGAATACAAATGCGTTATTAATTTAAATTATGAATTTAAATGGAATAGTCTATTATTGTCTTATAGGTCGCCTGTGTATGTCACTGGGGAAACTTTCACTTTGAAAATTGCAGGGCAGAAGAGCAGGAGATGGGTTCACACACACACACACACACACACACACACACACAAACACACACACACACACACACACGCACACACACACACACACACACACACACACAGATATACACATATACATGCCCACACAGAGTGAGAAAAGTAATTGAGATTGCACCACAGGAGTAATCACTTGCAGTCATGCAGAGCTAAGTATGGCTCATCTGAAATAACCTATTTGCTGATTCAATCACAACTTTTAGTGGCACAAAAAATATATATATATAGTTGAGTCCATCACATTGATTTTTGGGGGCCAAAATCGCAGCCACTGTGTTGTCATCTAAATGCATATCCACAATTTTCTAGTCTTTTCTGTATTTGATGAGTCATTTTGGACCTATTTGAGTCCAGGGCCATTGGCAGCATGGGTTTCTCCGATTCAGCCCATTGTTCGTTTCATGCTCTGTGAGGCTCGTCTTAGTTGTAAAGTGAACAATAGATCTAAGAGCCAATTAGCTGCTTCCTGTGTGAGGATTTTTGTGTGAGCAGCCAGAGCTGGACAAAACAGGCAGAGTCCTCGCCAAAGCTTGTTAACAAGTGGCCGGACCGGAGGAGTCTATTTATGAGCAGTGGCTGTGTTTTAGCCTGTGTGTGAGCCTCATTACATCTGCTGCATCAAAGCACCTCACTGCTGCTAAAATAGTAGGGCATTTCTTCTCCTCCACACTGCTACTCTCTCTCTCTCTCTCTCCTCCCTCCCTCTTTCACCCCTTCTCTGTCTGTCTGTCTTAGACACCTCTCTGTCTTTTACTTCTCTTTCCCTCGCTGTCTTTTTCTTCTGTTTCTCTCTCTTTCACTCTGTCTTTCTCTTTCTCTTTCTCTCATTCTTTTCTTTATTTCTCTTTTATTCTCCTCTCTTACTTGCTCTTTTACCTCTCTCTCTGGCTCTCCCTCTCTTCTCCCCCATCTCTCTCCCCCTCTCTCTCTCTCTCTCTCTCTCTCTCTCTTTCTCTCTAGCCCTCTGTCTCTCACTCAAAAATGTTACAAACTGTCTGACCAGAGAGAAAGAGAAGGCACACAAAAGGAGGAGGAAATTGTCTGTGCGATTTGTAATTACAGAAATTAACTATATAACGAGCAGAGTGTAATTACAAGGGTTGCCTAATTGCTATTATTACTGAGGGGAAACAGCTCAGCTACAATTAGTTGTGCGGTTGCATATGTGTGTGCGTGTGTGTTTGTGAAAGAGTGAGTCTGAGTGTGTGAATGGAGGTACACAGCACCTGTGGGCCTGTGAGTGTGGGAGACTATGATATAGGGGTGTGTCTGTCTGTCTGTCTATCTGCCCATCTGTGTGCAAGCAGGAAGAGTGATTGAGAATATTGAGAATATTTACATTTTCGAGTAATGAAAATAAATAGCCATGTTTATAATATTATTATAAAATAATAATATTAATACTTATATTGTTATGTGAATATTATGTAACTGTAATTCAAATTAATATTATATTATATTATATGTTTTATGTAATATGGGGGGTCAAAACTTCATGAGTCAATGCTAGTTTCAGCAACATGGAGGCCATCAAATAATGCAACCTGCCTTATTTAGATCATTCAAATGCCCAATGAGTAAAACATCTTCTTATTTACAGCTCCAGCAGTGAATCAGTATTCTCTCTCATTGATGTCTGAGGCCAGAGTAGTGGCCAGAGTACAGGTCTAATTAATGTCCAGTTAACTCAGTGTCTACTAAAATTTCATCTTCTTCATGTCTCCTAACCTGTCAATCACTTTTTTGTCTACTTTCATTTTCTTTTTATATCATTTTATCCATAGCCATGCATGCTCGTTATAATCATTTTATTAACTTCAGGTGAATGAAGCTTCTCTCTGCCTTTTAGCAGCTTCTAGGACTAGCAGAAAAACAGAGAAACTCTTCCAGTTCTACACAGTAGTGGATCACTGAAATATTTCGGATTTAAGCTCTAAACATCATGTCGTTTTTGAAAAATCTATTAGTGGTGTAGAGCTGCAGAGGGCCTGTTGAGGCTGTAGTGGGATATTAAAAATAATGTATCAAAATTGCTGTTTTTTGAATATTAAATGATGGAAAACAGAACAATTATGATAAATCTTGTAATAGTAAACTGGAAAATTGGCAAATTGGAGATGCTAAAGTGGCCCCAGGTGTGTGTGTGAGTGTGTGTGTGTGTGTGTGTGACAGTAAGTGAGTGAGTGAGTGAGTGAATGCGTGTGTCTGCCCTGTGATGGACTGGTGACCTGTCCAGGGTGTTTCTTGCCTTCTGCCCAATTAGCGCTGAGATAGACTCCAGCGCCCTCTGCGACCCAGGAGGATAAGCAGCTTAGATAATGTGTGTGTGTGTGTGTGTGTGTGTGTGGGTGTGGGTGTGTGTGAATAGGTGGTGAATACTTTGGTTTTCATTACATCAGAAAAACAATTAATTGAAAACTGGCTCTATTTGCTACTTAATTTGTAGTGTATACACTGAGAAGAGAACAGTATATTTTAAAGATTAATGTTTACATACTACACCAAACTCTTTAATTTAAAAAGTGAGTAAAATTCAGTTTGCCATGTTATGGTCCCTTAAATGATTTTTAGCTATTCCTGCGATTTGGGAGCAAGTGTTTCTTTAATCCAGCTTATACTGCTACAATTAGACTTTCCTCTTTAACCTGCCACAAGTTGTTCTCAGTGGGGGCCTTGATAGAGCAGCAGAGCCATAAGGGGGCCAGGCATGATGCATGGATGTAATTCCACTGGACCCTGCTTCTGCTCTCTGGGCAGAGGCAGCCCTGGAAGCCCCTCAGGGGGGTGTGTGGAGTGGTATCCCCCCTCCACACACACTCACATAGACGTACACTCACCCGCTCCGGTGAGGTGGGAGGGGGCAGAAAGAGCGGAGCAGAGGGGAGGGAGGTGGAGTGGAGGACTGGCTTTTGTCTGCTTCCCACGTTTCAAAGCCAGTCTTGAAAAATGAATAGACAGAGGAAAATCAATTGCATGACCTTCACACGAAGGGAGAGAGAGACAGAGAGAGAGAGAGGGGTTGAGTGAGACAGAAAATGAGTGAGAAGAAAAGAGAGAGAGAGTTAGAGTGAGACAGAACATGAGAGAGAGAAAGAGAGAGAGAAAAGAGTAGAAGAGGCATGATGGATGAGGAGGATAAGACAAAAATAATTTGTTTAAGATGCACAACATTATGTTTCTAATGTTTTTTTTTTTTCATTTGAACATAAGTCTGCACATTTTAACGCACATGATTAAAATGTCCAATGATTTTTGAAAAAATAAATAAATAAAAGGTGGCTTGTGCAAATGTTGTGGCACATTTTATATTTTATTTTTTTTTCCAAAGGAATGTAGGACAAAGGCTAGGGGGGATGGCATTTATGGCAATGGGTCTCTTTTTTGACTGGGACATGGCATCTCCCCTTTCATTCTCTTGCAAAATGATATATAATCACCGTCCCAAAAAAAAAACAAACAAAAAAAAAAACAAGTACTTCTATTTTTATGATTTTTACTTTTCTGCATCCCTTAATTTTTTACACCCTTTAAGTTGTGTGAAAAATAGAAATGATCCAGTGCTTGGAATCTCTCTTTACATTAACTTACATTAAAACATTATAAGTAAACAATCTATTACCTACTCCTGTAAAGTTACTTATTTTTCTTTGGACAGTTTGAATATACATAGAGGTTTTTGTATAAGTAAGTGGAGTATACCCCTTCAAAATCTCCAAACGTTAACTTCACAGTTAGTGTTCTTAATGTTCATGTACACTGATGTATTAATGAAGTAATATTTTATGTCCAGTCATTTTTGCTTTCTGTCATAAAATGTTCACACAGTGGAAAATGAATATAGACTAACTGACGCATACACAGCTTACATACAGGATGTTCAGACCTATAGCCCTTTAGATTATGCAATGATATATGCATATATATTAGCACACACAGAGGCTTTGGTGGACACACCATCTTACACACTACATTCTTACAAACACTATATCCTCTTTAACCTGTAGCTCTACAGGAAGCTCTGCAGCCTCCTTATCCCTCCACTGTAAAGAACCCACACAAAGGAAGTCAGTGCAGACTGTTCTTCAAACTGCCCCTAATGTGGAACATGAGTTTGATTGTTTTGTCTGCTTTTTGCTCCTTGAATGGATTTTCTCTCTGTGAATCCTCATGTTGTTTTTGACCTTCATCTTTTCTGTCTTCCTCCTCTCTCCTTTTCACTCTCTCGTCTTTTCTCCTTCTCCGTACTTCTCCAGTCTCCCTCCCGCCTGCTCTCGATGCCTGTCTGTCCCCTAATGCTCAGCGTTTAAAGCGGCGAAGGCTTTTAAGGGACGTTAATTGCACTCAAATTATGTTCGACCGCGCAAGGAGTGAGTTTACGATGGAGAGAGAGTGAGAGAGGGAGAGAGAGTCACAGAGAGAGAGAGAAAGAAAGAGGGGAGGGGGGGGGCTGAATGAAAGCATAATTGCCCCAGAGAAGGACGTTGTGACTAGAGTCACTTTCTCCTTCTCTCTCTTTCTCGATCTATCAGGCTCTTTCTGCCTCTATGGGTGGGGGTTTAGGAGGGTGTCTGTAAAGAAGTTGCCAGGAGATCAGCCTACGATTCCCATCAGCCTGACTAGATTGAGCAAACTTAGACAAAATAAAAGGCCAACGTCACCGTTCCCATAGTAACCTCCCAACTTGGTTAAAAGGTTGCTGGACAGAGGACGAATGAGAGAGTTAGAGAGAGAGAGAGAGAGAGAGAGAGAGGAGAGAGAGAGAGAGAGAGAGAGAGAGAGAGAGAGAGAGAGAGAGAGAGAGAGAGAGAGAGAGAGAGAGAGAGAGAGAATTTTTAACAGAGATATTTATTCAGTCAACGTAAGAACCACAACAAACTTTGTTCGTCAGTGTGACCCTTAACATGTTTCATCATTCACCTTAAACAATGTCAACTCTGACAACAAATCAACTCCCCCTCTAACAAAGTGCAATAATCTTCACTGTAGCACTGTAAGACTTCTATATTGTTCTTTTCTTTGTACTTTGATTTTACTTTCTGAACAGATCTGTTTACTTTTTATAAACTGAGATTTGAGAGAGAGAGAGAGAGAGAGAGAGAGAGAGGAGGAGAAGGCATGTGGAACAGAAGAAAGGAAAACTCTACTACTAATTTCTTTCTCTGTCACTCCATGACATGAGCGAGGCCCTTTAAAGCTGACCCAGGAGTCAAGCTGCAATTATTGCAGACAGACTCGCTCTATGATTTCATTTCCAAAATGTGATTAAAAGTCAGAGAAGTCTTGTGTATTTAATATAATATGAGAGCAATGGTAAGTTTACAGTGCATGGTTTGAATGCACTTATTGGTTATGCAAAAATAGTCAAGGCTATCTATCTATCTATCTATCTATCTATCTATCTATCTATCTATCTATCACTGTCATTATCAGTGTATATATTGTTGCTGTTGGAACAAAACCTTGTGTCTCCATTTTTGTCGTTTTTCAGTTTTTCACATAATTTGAAAATGCTTGTTTTCCTTTATTGTATTTCATTATGCAATTAATACATGATTAGTAGTCAAGACATACAGACTACAAAACCAATACACCAAGCTATTTTTTTTTTTACATTTGAAAACAACCCCAGAATTTTAGCCCAAATGGAGTGCATACTTTATTAAATATTTTTATAATCAGTTATAACCTTTAAAGTGTGTCAATGCATTTTTAAACCCTAGAAGAGCTCATAGTATTGCTTATAGCAACAGCCAAAATTCTGTGTGTTTATATGGAGGGTCCTACACTTTTAGTAGACAGCATGTGTGTGAGCCCCATGGGGAACAAGTAGTGCTCTGTGTAACACACCCCTCTACGCACACCCACACACACACACACACACACACACAGTGGTTGTCGTGGTCTGGGCGTGAAGCTCCTTTTCAGGCTGTGAATGGGCAGGCTCATTGATATTCCTGCTCTGAGCTGAGAAGGGGGGACCCCAGTCTCACTGTGGCACAACGGCTTTGTCCCGCAACTGCTCCTGCACTGGCTTCAGGAGTATGAATTTGTGTGTTTGTGTGTGTGTGTATGTGTGTGCGCGTGTTGGGGGGGTGGAGGGTCTTTAAAAGTTTCATGTTTTATTTTTTAGTTTTTGGTTACTGAGGTAAATATTTGACTTCAGTTTGGTGTAAAATAAAATAAGAATGGCACATTATTATTACATATACATATTTGCATACATATATCATCAGAACAAAAAGGTAACTTTGCAAGAGAAGGGAGGATATTTTATCTTAAGAGTTCTATTGGTCCACTCATCATTAAAACGTGACGAAAAATCACAAACACACACACACATACTGAGAGAGTGTATATATATATATATATATATAATATATATATATATATATATATATATATATATATATGTAAAACCACACTGTTAATCTCCCATCAGAATAAAGACACATACAAACATGCCCCATCACACTAACTGCTGTGAGTACAGAAATCAAAGCAGTCCTAACAAATTGGTAAATAAGAGACATGCTTGTTTGAAATGCTCTGCAAATGTTATTTGTCTGATTTTTTAAATTTGTTTGCTTTGTAGTGACAGACACCTCAGCATGGCACTGCTGCAAGAGACTGAATTAGCATGTGTTTCAGTCATCTTAGTAAAACACACACAGGCCCTGTTGTATGTTGTCTTGTATAGCCTGATTTTGTGGACATGTAATTTATAATGTGTTTTTTTCTTATTCATTGTATACCCAATGGTCATTGCATTGCACTGTTATCTACAATATACTATAAGGCCTTTCTAGACTTTTGAGTAATTTTTATCTGTTCAGTGACTGTTTTGCTCTTTTTTTTGGGATATTCTTAGAGTGTATGAGAGCATATATGAGGAATTCTAGGTATTGTGTACTACTTTAGATGGGTTAAAGTATATTAGTAATGATGAATTGCCCAATGTAGCTTGAATGAAGCAAAGTTAGACTGTTTCATTTTGACTGTGACAATTATACAAATATAAAACTAGATGCGTTAGAAGATATTCCTGTGTCCATTTTGTAGTAATAACTTGCTGTTTTTTGTGTTCATCTTGCTGTGCAGTGCGGAGAAGCAGTCATTCACTCGCAACTGACATATTTGAGCAGCACCTGGGAGCACATCTACTACAGGTAATCTGATCTCTGTCACTGCACTCTGACTTATCATTCACCACCTGTTGAATTCCACTACACTAATTCATTTCTCATGAATCTTTGTTTTTGCTCTTCTTTAAAGAATGTATTATTACTGTAAAGCAGTTATAGGCTTACCACTTCATTTCTGACAGATAACTCAGGCATCTGAACTTGCTTGATACCTCCTACACTTTAAAATAACATTTAGAACAAAATGTTTATTTAAAATAATACCAGAAATGTTTAGTCAGAGACCAACCATCATTTATAAATATCTCAATCAAAATGGCTATTAAGTACAAGCTGTTCAAAAAACAGCAGAAAAAAGCAGAAAACATATTTAACAGGAAATTACACAGAAGCCTCAACAACTAAATATAAGATATACATTTTCAGTATTCGGTGTGTCGCCGCTTTACCTTTATTATAGCTTCCATTTTTCAGTGGACTTGCTTGGAGTTTTTTAAAGAAATCTGCAGGGATATTTTTCCAAAGTTTAGTCTTAGAAGCTGGTTTCTGCATCTCATGATCCAAATAATCCCAACCACATTCAGTGATGTTGAGGTGTGGACTCTGAGGTGGTCAGTCCATCATTCTGAGAACACCAGCAGCTTTGTTTGATTTGCCTATTTTCTTATCTCAGTAACATCCTCTTAACAGCTACACATCCTTTCAGACCCATAGCATTAAGTTGTCTTTTCACAGAGGATGAAAAGACAGAAACACTTGTGGATTTTTTTCAGATCTGAAGCAAGAATGTAGCTTGGTTTTCTCCTATCTCTAAAAGACGAAAGCTTTGCATCCTGTTTATCTGATGGTCACAGTTTTGGTGGTCTACCAGATCTTATATGATTGTTAGGTTAAGGCGTGTCATGTGTCAAACTCAAGGCCCGTGGGCCAAGTCAGGTCCGTGGCACAACCTTATTTGGCCTGTGAAATTATTTTAATTTTCTATTATTATTAGCTTGTTTAACCCTGAGCTACACTACAGTCCCCAGCATGCACTGCAGCATATTCTGTGTTCTAACCCCCTTTCTCCAACACACAAACAGAAAAGATGCCTAGTGTTTAGTTCTAGCAAATAGGAACTTTTAAAAATCTACCTCCTGCAGAAATTTAAAGAAGTTTAACAACTATTTGTAGCAAATGTAGCCTATTGTTTTATATAAAGCAATTTATTTTTATTTACAAGCATTTTTGAATGGTTCAAGTATTTTGCTTTTGTAGTTTTGGCATATTTTGAATAAACAATGACCAGTTCAGGTCATGGCAAAATGTTAAGTAAAAATTAAAGAACAGCACAGCTGGCCCATGACTTTGTTAAGATTTTTTAATATGGTCCTTTTAGTGGTTGAGTTTGACACCCCTGGGTTAAGGTAAAGCAGGTCATTTTTGTGCTGTATCTTACTATAGACAGCACATTTCACAAAAAAGCACTACTCATTTGGAAACACTGTGAAAAATAACAAAAGTATGTAGGAATCACCATGTATTATTTCTATGAAAGATGAAAAAAGAACCTCTCAGAACCTAAAGAACCTCAGAAAGAGAGGGTCATGAGACAACAAAAGCATAAAGGCTATGGAACAACATATAGGGAAGAAGAGCCCTCCTAGAAATCAAATTAACGCTTCAGGGAGGAAAAAATGTAAGATTCTTTTCTCCGCTGTGTCCTCTGTCACTAATAACTAGATAATTGCTCTTTATTTTTCCATGCGTTTCAGGCAGCTCGCCGCTCCCACAATCCCCGGCCACTCGCATTTGCATACCGAACGTGTCGCTTGCATAAATTACCGCCACTTTAAGAGCCGCCGCCAAAACAGCAATCATTCTCCAACAAAGTGGCCACCTCCGCTGCTCACTTGTGGATGCTTGTTATTACGATTAATATTATTCTTTGAAGGAGTCTCTTAATGGGGTGGCTGTATACCTTTCAGTTTTCATTTGAATCACACACTGTCATACCTACTGCCACTGCTCTGAGGTCAACTCACAAAGCAGATTGCAGGGGGGTGGGGGTCTTTGTTTCTGTTAAATAGACTCAACGTTTTCGCCTCTGCTGTTTTTGATTATTGTCTTATTTTTTCATTTGGAGCATTTTCGAATCCAGCACAACTAGAGATTTATTTGATGTAAAAATTCAGGTGCGCTCATCTGGTTTGGTCTGGCATTTTCAACACAGATAAAGCCTAGACCTAACATAGATTGCAGTGTCCAGTGTCCAGATTCCACTACATATTTAGTTTAGTTTTGGACTTAAAGGGATACCTCTAACCTTGATCTGCCACATCTGTAGTGTGTGGTCAATTACCACAGATAATAATTTACCAATATTTAGTCAATAACAGAGAAAAGGTTTAGACAAAATGCACTTATAATAGAAGTCAATGCACAGCTGCTGGATCAGACAGGTATTAAACTGAATGTTGCAGTAAAAAAGTGTCTAAAGAACTGTTTTTGTACTGAATTCTAAAGCTCAGTTCACAAGAGAAAATCAGCTGAATTTATGACAAATACACAATCTTACAATGTTGTAATCTTTTGTGTATGTTTTTAATTCTTTTTACAGTCTCTGGATGGGTTTGTGTTCGTGGTCAGTCAAGAGGGCCGATTCCTGTACATCTCTGAGACTGTGTCCATCTATCTGGGCCTCTCACAGGTCAGACTCATACACTTTTTAACACAACCAGTGAGAATATCCATGTATCTGCTGCCTCTCTCTCTTTCTCTTTCCTTTCTCTCTCTCCATGTCTCCACTTTCCTTCTCTCTCTCCTCTTTCTTTCTCACTCTCCTACTCAGTTTTTTCTTTCTGTTTTCTCTTTTTCTTTCTCTATCTTCTCCCTTTTACTCTTTTTTCGTACTCTTCTCCCTTTTCTCTCTCTTTCTGACCTTCCCACTCTTACTCTCCTTACTTTCTCACATACCTTCCTACATTTCTCTCTCTCTGTCCTTATTTCTCTCTCCAATCTCTCTGTCTCAACTTCTCCCCCCTCTTTTTCTCTCTCTCAGCTCCTGTCTTTCTTTTTTCTCTCTCTCTGTCCTTCTTTCTCTCTCTTTCCCATCTCTCTGTCTCAGCATCATTCCTTTTCTTTCTCTCTTCTTTCTGTCTTTCCTCTCTCTCTCTTTTTCTGTTCTACTCTCCTTCTTTCTTTCTCTCCCATCTCTCTGTCTCAGCCTCTTTCCTTTTCTCTCTCTCTCTCTCTCTCAGCTCTCTCACCAGGTGCTCACCTCCGTTGATTGCCTGTGGCCTCTTGTACAGAGAATGTTAAGTCCTGCCATTTCGCCCAGATGCATAAATAATAACAGTAATTACTCGCACAGCAATCAAAGTGTCGCCCTAGCGTGCTGGGGTCTGTCTCGGGAGCAAATCGATAGGCATCTTAAAAGCTGCATTGATTGTGTGATGAAAAACACACACACATGGTCTGCAAGGGGGATGAGGAGACAGATAGTGAGAAATGGAGGGGGAGCGAGTGCAGGAAAACAGATATGTTTAGGAAGAGGGATTGAATAGAGAAGAGGAGAAAGAAAATAAGGGATTGCTCGGAGAGAACTTATCGAGTGGGTGTAAAGAAAGAATGGCTGGATGATTGGGCTTTTGTCCTTGCTGGAGTTCTGCTCTCGATTTAGTAATGTGTGTGGGTCACCCAGTTTATAGGACATCACTCAAATGTGTTTTAGCTCCATGGCGGATGTTTCAGCGCTTTACTTCACTGTAGTTTGCTTCTTTCAGCACAGTGGATCAGGACATCTGCAAGAGCAGGATGCACAGAATAAATTTGCTTTTTTCGCTATTAAACGTGCAGATGGCTTGAAATGATGGCAGTAATCTTGACAAACATGAAGAACCCTCACTGATTTGTTTGCCTTCACACATTAGGATATTTCTTGTTGAAGCAAAATGAAAGACAACAAGATCTTGATGGAGTCTGGGAGATCAGACCATTCTGTTTAGGGTCTGATTTCAACAGCAGTGGTGACACAGCAGGGGAACAGTAGAAAAGTGGAGGGGGGATAAGGTTTGCTTTGGTGGTATAATAACATCAATATTGGCAAAACAAATAGGTTGAATCCATAAAAATATCTATTGACTCCTCATGTGACCAGGACCAACCGATAGGTCAAAACATTAATTATATACTTCTGTAACTTGAAAATAACTTAAGAATGACTTAATGAATAAAACAAATCTGTGATAAAAACTAATTTCTACTATTTCATTATTATTTGTTATTTTTATTATTAAATTTATTATTTCTAATAATATGGTAGCAGTGAATTAACACTGGTGTACATAAACATTTTTAGGCTGTTCTCAAGTCAGTACAGATATCTGAAGCTTGTAAAATACATTCCATGTTTTATACATTAACATGCCCTGACATAGAGCTGCCACACTGTTTTCCTTTTCTACAACTGACTGAAACCTGGTTAGACTATGCCTCGTGTTCACAGTGAGTGATGTGTTTAAGGCTTTCAGAAGCCATAGAGTGATGCTGTTTGTTACAAAATTGGTCCCACTCAATAGAATCATAGCATGAACATTTCCATTGTCTGTTCCTAATTACGTTGGTAGGTAATCTAACCTCTAAGGGTGTCAGTTCAGCTCCTAAAGTTCTGCCCAATGGAAGAGCTCACTTGGCTAAATTTACCTAGATACTGCAGAGAAAAACATTCAGCTTGGATAACTTTCCATTTTGCTATTTTAACCCTTTTGTTTCCAACTAAAACCTAACAATGGAATGGGTTACTACACTTGCAGAGTTTAAATACAACAAACATGATGATTCTATGTAACAAAAAGTAATTAAAAATTATAGATATATATTTTTTAGCTCACAGAAATCATTAGGCTTTCTCTGAAGACACAGGTGGCCCTGAGGGTCCCACGCTGATAAATATTCACCTCCATTTGAGCACACATTTGTAGATCTACTGATGGTGTTGAGCTTATTGTAAGTTTTGCAAATTCCATGAACTGTGTTAATGTTTTTTTTCCTTATATATCATCCCTTTTTGCTTACATATTTTAACAAAGTTCTATCTATCTATCTATCTATCTATCTATCTATCTATCTAGTATATCTTGTAGACCACCCCTGTTGGAGACAGACTGAAATTGATCATCAGTAAGCAGGAGACTTTACTTGTTACTGAGATCATTCCCCCCTCCAATCCGAATAGCCTGTCCCTATAGACTGACCCTACTCATGGCTAATCCTCCTTGGCTTTTCCCTGGTCAGTGGGGTTCTTTAGGCGGATTAGGCCAGGTCAGGCACCTTCGGCTGCAGGCCTTGTCCTCTGCTGCCTGCAGAGATAATTTGGCTGCTCCTCTGGCCCTGAGGAGCTCAGAGAAGGAGGTGTGGAGGTGGAGGTCCAGGGCCTGAGCCTGTGCTCTGCTCTTTTCTCCTCACAGGCCTGCCAAGGAGGTGGGGCAGGCTGGACAGGGTGGGGAATTGATCCCAGCCTGGTTAGTATGCGGCACCTTCCCCCTTCTCTCCTCTCCTTTTCCTCTCTCACTCTCTCTATCTCTCTCGCTCTCCCTCTCTCCTCCATCAGTCAGCGGCAGACTGAGAGTGTGTTGTGGACGACTGCCCGGATGCCTCATACATATTAAAGGCACTGCTATTATTTATATCATGTCTCTGCCCGCCCCCCTCACCCCCCACCCCAACCCACCACTTTCTTCCTTTTCTCTTCTTATTCCTCTAACACTAACCTAAAGACTTTTCCCTCATCCTCTATTTCTTACTGTGTCCGTTGGCACCATCTTCCTCTTTCTCTCTTCCATTCTCCATCACTCCATTTCACATGTGCTCCATCTCATTAAATGGCCTAAAAAACCTTTCAGAACATAAACATCCACCTCTGAAGTATTATGGGGCCAGATTAAGTTCTCCAAGCTGAAGTCCCCCATCGAAACTGTCTTTGTCTCCAAGCACCTCCACATTTTACCTCTCAATTAGCCAACATGTGTTTATAGGCCCCAAACTCCCCAACCGCTGTTCCTCTCCTGTTCCGACTCCTCCTCTACCTCTGTCTGTCTCTCTGTCTCTCTCTTTCTTATTCTCTCTACCTCTCTCGCTCATTCTTTTTTTTTTTGTTCCCCCGACCGATTTCACCCAACCTGCTTCTTTTTTTGTACGCATTAGTGTCCTTGAAGGCCGGCGGAAAATCCTATAAAATCCTTCAGTAAATGGATCTAATCCTATAATAAATGGGTATGTCCCGCAGACAAGGGTGTGAGGGAGAAACTGGCTTTTTATCAAGATGGAATGAAATCTGACCCGCACAGATTAGGTTTTTATAGATCTGGAAAGGAGGGGGGCATACAGCGCTACTTTTTTCTTAGTCTTAAACTACTGTGACAATGCAATTTGCAATAGACATGAAGAGTTTGGAGATATTACTACTGTTATGGGTTTTTTTTTTTCATCTCAGTGTTTGCAACTGGAACACCAATTTTTTCTTCTAAATTTCTGCATAATTCAGTTGTTAATATGTAAACAAAGTCATTCAGAGTGGTTTGATGTAAAATGTGCCACTCTAGTCAGAATTGTTCACAGTGGTGGTGATAAGAACCAGTCATCTGGAGTGTTTATTACTTGTAAAAGCCACCTTGTTTAACTTTTTACACCTCTGGGACATTACCTTTGGTCTAAAAAAAATTTTTTTAATTCATTCATGACAGAGTGGTACATGAAATATAGGATATTATAAGGCAAAAAAGTTTCAAAAGAAAAATTATTTTTATAGATTCGCCATTATTTTACCATCATCAACATTGTGTATAAAATCTCAGACTCATGTAGTTTCACTGAAGATTTTGTATAGCAAATACAAAGGCTATTTGATTTGTAGACTTTCTGAGCTCTGGTTCTTATCACAACCACTGTAAAGAAATCTGAGTCAGTAAGTTTCTCTTCAATAAAACATTTCACATCCAACCACTCTGAATAACTTTGTTTACATCTCAATGATTGAATTATGCAGAATTAAAAAAAAAATTCTTTGGGATTCTCCCTTGAACTACTGAAACAATGTGTGATAAAATGAGGTAATGCAGATTTTTATGTGCCACTTTTGTATCCATGCCATTGATTTAGGTTCTGCACTGTTCGGGTAAAGCTGTAGATGTAGGGCAGATGTGTATCATAACTCTGAGATGTTTTGTGCCTTGACTTTCTCTGATACATTTTGTATTTGTAATATGTAGCAAATAGAATATTACATGGAGGTCATGCTATGGTACAGTTAATGTTTTATGTGCGAGTTTGCTTTTATCTCTCTCTGATGTTTGTTGCAACTCCAGCATAAATGTGCACTTTTGTGTTTGTGTGTATGAGTGTGCCGGCTTGAGAGAGTGCTGAGTGTGTGAATGTGAGTGTTTTCCAAGGTCTCTGGCTGATGTAGTGATGTATTACTGTTTATTTTACTGTACAGTATGCCCAGGTCTGCACTCTGTTTCTGCATGTGTACACTGGTCATGCAAAATGAAGTGAAAGTTACAGTATAGGCTTATTGATTTCACCTGTTAAATCCACTTCAATCAGTGTGAATGAAAAGGACACAGGCTATAGTATATTTTAGGCTTGAGACATTGTGCATATGAAGAAGGATGGGCAAGAGAACAAACTGAAGTGCTTATGAATGGGCTATGATGATAGGTTTCACATGTGTTGGTCAGGTGAGCACTTGAGGGAGTCAAAATCTGCAAATCTGCTGGATATTTCAACCTCTGCAGTGTTCTGTAGAAGTAAATATAATGGTTCACAGCCTATAAGACAGTGGTTCTCAAACAAGTTCTCAGGCCCTCCAAGATTGCTCTGTCCCTATGCGTTTGGAGGCCTGGGCGACAGGGAGATATAATCGGATATCAACGATGATTGACAAGTATTGATGTTTCAATAGTGGATAATTGCCGTTTTGGGAAAGAGAACTGACAGAGAACACATCATTGCTGTCCAAAAAAACAAATAAACAAAAAAGCATGTTTCTGCAAAATAGTAAATTTACAGGAAAAGACAAAAACATTCTTAATTCTTTAATCGTTTCTATTGTTTCATTCATCATGGATTTTTTAATACAAAGTGAATGACAGCTGCTGTGTTTAAATGATAACAAAAACTAAAATGGATTTTTTGGACAGCAGTGACTTGTTATTTCATTAACAGTCAAAACAATGGATTATTACAAATAAAAAAAAAATAATAATTTTTAACAAGAAAACATGATACTAATTATTTGGAGATATCGCCCAAGCCTAGTTTGGATCGAACACAAATGTGGACCATCTGGGGCCTGAGGATCAGTTTAAGAAACCACTGCTACTGCTATAGCACACCAAAAAAACGCTCATGGGTGGACGAGGTGAAATCAGACTGATACAGCTAAATCTACATTTAGTTTTTAACTTACAACAAAAATCTTAGAAAGTAGTGTCTAAAGTTTTGATGTTTGAATTGTGTGTGTGGGTGGGTGTGTGTGTGTTTTCAGGTGGAGCTGACTGGCAGTAGTGTGTTTGACTACATCCATCCTGCAGACCATGTGGAGATGGCAGAGCGTCTTGGAATTAAGCCACACCTCCGCGCAGAGGCGGGCTGTCAGGTGGCTCAAGAAAGCATCTCAAGCTCCGCCTCCACATCCTCTCTGGCTGGCACACCTGAACCAGGTAAACACATATCAGTAGGGTTCAGCTCAGCTGTTTGTCAGTTGTCATGTAATTTCAAAACCTCATAATTACTTTTTTGTTTCTTTTTTTTTTTACACTACTTTTTTTTTTGTTTTTATTCAAAAATCCCAGCTGTCCATTACATTGTGTGAATTTTTCATGATGATGGACCAATAGAAATAAACACACACACACACACACACACATACACACACACACACACACACACACACACACACACACACACACATACACAAACACACATCATCTAAACCGCTTATCCTTACCAATAGAAATAAAAGAAAAAACAGAAAGAGTCATAAATAATTTCTACTCTAATCTTTTCTACTTCTTTTCTATTCAATTCAGAATTAAACAGGCTGTTTTTGTTACTGTGCCTTTAAGACTGATGCATGAAAATGAGCTCTTATCTGACTGGCTGCCCTGTATTGTGCCTCATTCAAAAAGCAGCCCAGGCTAAGATGCTTCTTATAACTATGGCATGAATGAGCAGAGCTAAACTGTTTTAGGCTGATTGGGCAGATATATGTTAACATGAGTTTTGTGACATCACAACAACAAATAATTTAAAACAGGCTGTTTTTGCAGCTTAGTTTCCAAATATGGATTGTACCGACACACATATTTTGAAACTTTAACAATGTTTACATACTACGTCAAACTTTAAAAGAAAAGGGAAAATTCAGTTTTGCATGATACCGGCCCTTTAACAAAATCTTCCTTTCCTCTAAAGTTTCCATTTTGGAGGTATGAGGTTTTGTTATAACACCATCCTGCATAGTTCCTTCCTTCATGTTCTTTACTGATTTTCCTCTCTAGCTGAATCTTTTCTCCATGTGTGTTGTCCTTTTGTTGTTTCTCTTGCAGTTTGTTTGCATGTTCTTACATTATATTGTGCATTTACGAGTAGATTATTGTAGTCACTATCTCAGTCACACTGTGAGTTATGTAGAATAATTACTGACACTGGCTCAGTGTGCACAAATTTACATGTGTGTGTATGTGTGTGTGTGTGCTCATCTGCCACTCTGCCTGTAGCCCCTTCTAGTCCTCTCTCATCCGGGGATGAGCTGGCAGAGCGAGGTTTCTTTATCCGGATGAAATCCACCCTCACTAAGCGCGGACTCCATGTCAAATCTTCCGGTTATAAGGTGAGTCTAAGCCCTCATACAGGCAATTAATGCTCAGGGCCCAGTTATCCAAAGGCGTGCAGTGTTAAGATCATCGCAACTTTACTCTCCCTACCACAATGGTTATTAAAGTACTGGGAACACCGCACATTGTGCATGTTTGTAGGGTCCTAAGACAACTGATCTGACTCAGGTAATCATCCGTTCCTCCTTCAGCTGAGTCGAGTGTAATAGAGCAGGAGAATCAAACTACTGCGCCAGTGTCATATATTAACCTGAGAGCATGTGCTAAGTTTTAAATAGTTGCTGTTGGAACAAAACCTTGTATCTCTAAAATGGTAACTTTACAGGGGAAGGAAACATTCCTTACTTTTAATGGAAGGAAATGTAACGAGCTTTTACTCTAAGTAATTTTGGACCATTCTATTGGTCCATTCATCTTGAAATTTACATAACATGTAAAGCGCAGCTGGTGTCTTCAAATGTGAAAAAATGGAGATACAAGATTTTGATCCAGCAGTGACTGTATGCAAAATACTCTAATCTGAAAATGATTTAGACCAAAATGCATTGAAATTTCCCTCTTGGAACTGGGATCTTGTTAAATAATTACACAACATTTAGATTTCTGCCCAACTTTCAACTAATTATTCTAGTGAAACTCTGATAAGAGTGTCCTGAAAATTATATATAGAGTTTGTATTTTTACAAATTCACTTCAGTCATTACTTTAATCGATATGTGCCACACAACACGCATTTATCATGCTATAATATATGCTTGAGCAGCATTGAATCTGCATGGATCTAACCAGAGTTTACATCGTAGGTAGAAACTAGATGTGTGCAAGAGAGTAGGAGAACCACACTAACAGGCCAAAGGACTTGAAAATGTACTCTGTGTTAGTGGGGATGTCATGCTGTGGGATCTTTGTGAATGCTTTATTTGAAAGCTAATGAACCCTTAGAAGCTGAGAGTTATTACTTTTCCTTTTGCTATACTATTCAAAAGTAATCACACAATTACATGCTTATTACATAGTGAGTTACATAATAACTACATTTACACTGAATGTAACTTCTGTATCAACAGATTTCAATACTTCTGATTTTTTTTTCTGTTTGTTTTAAAGTCAAGCAATGACTGTTCCACTTAACCTGGTAAAGAATGAGTTATTACAATTTGACAGACATTACTTTTGTTTTGGTGTATTATTCAAATGATATAATTACATTTTTATTTACATAGTGAGTCATGCAATGAATCACATTTATATTCCATTTACACTCTACATCAGCAGGTTTGAGTCTGGCAAATGGCAAAAATATAAAAGATGGTTCTTCATTCCACAATATCGCTTCTACTTACAAACAAAAATTTGGTGTGAATTGAAAATTTAGAATCTGTTCTTTTGATTGAAAGTCTTGGTTTGTTTTAACAAGCCATGAGTAAGAAATCATTAATGTTGAATACACCATGCTATTGTTAATTGGCAATAACTGCAACTTCTAATGATTATGTATTATCTTCTTTAATCTCACCCTGATAATTAACTTTGGTGGTGTTTATCCAACTTCCTGTCAGGTGATCCATGTAACTGGCCGGATTCGCTGTCGCCCCGCCCTTGTGCCAGGCTCCTCCCGCTCGCTCCATCGGCCAATGGGACTGGTCGCACTTGCTCACACGCTCCCACCCTCCACTCTTAATGAAGTGCGCATGGAGAGTCACATGTTCGTCTTCCGTGTTAACATGGACCTCCAGGTCACCTACTGTGAGAACAGGTACTGTTTCATAGCACTGTGGAACAGCCACAGGCCTCTAGAGCCTCTCACTGTTTATACAATTTTATAATAAATGGACATGTTGTCTCTGATGTTTGAATTTTCCTTGCTGTCTCCATTATAGATACTGCATACAGATGTATTATAAAATGTATGTTTACCTGAGATCATGTCCATACTTATATTTAGTCACCTTCCAAGTAGTAAGTTTACATTCCTAACTTTTAATGGAAGGTAATGTAATGTAGCATTTCCTTATTGATTGGAAACTTGTTAAATATTTATAGAATATTTTGATTTCTGCACAAGCTTCAACTAATTACTTTGCCTAGAGTGTCTTGAAAATTAGATAGATAGATAGATAGATAGATAGATAGATAGATAGATAGATAGATAGATAGATAGACAGATAGATAGATAGATAGATAGATAGAACTTTATTGATCCCATTGGAAAGTTGTAGTGTTACAGTAGCAAGATATGTAACTGCACATTAATTTACATAAATTAGGCAGACAAAAAATGCTGCTATTCTTAGTTATAGTTTATACTCATTGTGTTGTAAACTACCTCATACCACTTAGAGCAATACCTTCTATTTCTACTTTCTCATACTTCACTCTAACTTATGTCTAATTTTTTATTTCTGCCTAAATTAAATTTATAGAGTTAGTTTTGCAACACAACATGCATTTATCATGCCATAATATATGCTTGAGTAACAGTGAATCAGCATGGGTCTGACCAGAATTTGCTTTGTGGGTAAGAACTAAATTGCATTACTGCAGATTCGCATTTTTCCTCGTATGGGGTTTTAAAGGGTACCAGTCATAGAAAACCAAATTTTCCTAACTGTTTTGAAATAGAAGAGCATGATGTAATTTGTAAACCTTGTTTCAAAATGTACTGTTCACTCTCCAGTTCATACAGTCCAAATATGGAAACTAAACTGCAAAAACAGCCTGAGGTCGTGGTGTCACTAAAACACATTTACACATGTACATATACTCAGCTTAGAGCTGTTTAACTCTGCCCATTCATGTTAAAGTTATAAGGAGTGTTTTTAGCACAGACAGCTTTTTTGTCTCTGAAATAAAGAATAAATAAAGAGAGGCTGAAAAATAGTCATGTAAAATAAATTATGACTGTTTCAGGTACTTAAAACCACAGAAATAAAATAAAGTGAAGTGTTCATTGTGGGCCATTTAATGAATGTGTTTGATGCAGGATCTCTGAGTATATGGATCTGAGCCCAGCTGAAGTGGTGGGACATACTTGCTATCACTTCATCCATGTGGAGGATTTGGACATGATCCGTCAGAGCCACGAAGACTGTGAGTCTTTCTTTCTCTTTACTTGCTGTATACTGTACATCTTTTACTCTCTTTCTTTCTGTCTGCCAGTGTGCCAGTCTCTATATTTCCTCCACTTTTCTCTCTCTCTCTCTCTCTCTCTCCTCTCTCTCTCTCTGCTCTTTTCTTTTTCTCTCTCCTCACAGCAGTGTCCATCTCAGTCTTCTAGTCATCTTGTTTTCTCTTAAGAAACTAATATATTTCAGAGAAAATAAAGGGTAAGAAGTAAAAACACACAGAGATCAGTGAGAGCCTTTGTGGGGTTTAATGCAGGGATTTGACAGATGGGAAAAGAAAGTGATTACAGCTGGTCAGAAAAGCTGTAAAGACAGATAACAGAAGAAGAAAAAACAACTCTGATGTTTTGATATAAAAAGGACAGATGCTCTCACTCATCATGTGCAGCCCATGTGATAGAGAAGCTCAAAAGCCTAGAACAGCTATTTTTGCCAACAGCGCCCCCTAGCCACGATAAGCTGGATGGAACTGTATTTAGCAATGAATTCAGCTCTGGTTCCACTTTATTTGGATAGTCCAATATAGATTATCTACAGATACTTGTTAACAAGCTGTCTGGTGAAACTCAATTGCTTCTCTACAGTGTTAGAGTTAGAATCATATTTAGGGTTAGTTTTAGGTTGTAGGTTCAGGTTAAAGTTGGGGTTAGAATGAGTTAAATACTTAATTGAAAAGGTTAAATTTGACCTGTTATTAAAATGGACATTTTTAACATTTTTAGTCATCATACCATACCACTTACATTCTTGTCATCCTGCGAAGTGTAATGACTTTTGCACGCTTCTGAAATGTCTTCTAAGTTTTGATTATGTTGCCATGTACCTGTGGGTGGGGAAAATAATATTAACCAATAATATCATGTAATGCATTCCAGTTCCAGTTTTTGTTGGCTTTAACACTGGCAAGGTAAACAAACATACAAAAGAATTTTTACCATTTTTTTGGTGTACAATATGACTGTTTTCAAATTCATATACATCACCTTAACCTCAAAATCCATAAATACAACTACTGCTGTAGAATAAGCCTAGTTTTGAGGGGTGTCTGTATTTTTTAGGAAATCACAGCCACAAAGGGTGCGATTTCAAACATAAATATGAACATTCAAAGTATGTAAGCAATATTCACTGTATATCCTGTGTGGAAATCAGTAACCATAAGCAAAGATGTTGGATTAACCTTGTAACTCCTGTGCAAAGCTGCAGCATGTCGTGTCTGATTGACTGCATTTGCAGTAAGAAATGGAAGTTAAATTATCCCATTAGCACAAAGTGTACATCATAACTAAAGCTAATGCTGTTCACTACAGGGGGCTTGTTTGAGAGGGCTGGTGTGTGTCGTATCGAGACTAACTCTATCTAATCCCTAATCTCTCCTCAGTGCTGCGGAAAGGGCAAGTTGTGACTGGTTACTATCGCTGGCTGCAGAGGAGAGGAGGTTACGTCTGGGTCCAGTCATGCGCCACTGTGTCTATCAACCACAAAGCCCCCCACGAACGCAACGTCATCTGGGTCAACTATATACTGAGGTCAGCTCTCTAATGGCTGTGTGATTTGCGTCTGCCTCTGTGTTCATTTTATTTAAGGAGAGGGTCACCAAGTGCCCTCTCTGCGTTGTGGGTGTATGTGTATGCGTGTGTGTTTGAATGCATGAATGTGTAAAAATTATGGTAATAAGCTCAACCACCTCACTCAACAACTCTTAGTCATTCCCCCTCTGTGTGTGTGTGTGTGTTTGTGTCTTTGTGTGACAGAGATAGACAAACACAGACAGACACACGCATAAAGAAAAGTCAGACAAAAACAAGACGAGCAGGCTGAATTACAATGATAATTGGACTGGTGATATATAATTACAGCAAATGGATGTCAAAATTTTCTGGCTGAATGGTGTTTTAGTTAATTAACGCTGTAATTATGAGAGCTAATTAACTTCTATAGCACCCTGCTGGAGCAGCGCTCTTAACAGAAGGGCTTTGAGTGTGTTTCTGTGTGGAGAGGAGGTGTGTGTGCATGTACAGTATGTGTGTGTTGTGGATGAAAGAGACAGAAGTAGGGGATAACACGAGTCACCCTTCTCTCTCGCTCCCTTGTACTGGGGAGAAAAATACATGTTTCTAATAAAGTGATCTTGGCCATGTTGAGTCATTTAAGCCCATTCAGTCAAGTGGGAACTAAACAGCACCTTTAAATGGTGTGACCAGTCTGTGTCAAAGTCAGCTCAGTGGAACAAGCATTAACTTCTAACAGAGTGAGAATACAAAACTGACTGCCAGTGGGTGCAAATAGAGCTGAACAATTTTGTCTGGTTAGTATTGCAATTTAAATGTGTAAGACCAGCATGTTCACATGTTTACAGGCTTGCAACTTTTTAAGGATGATTTAAACTTATGCGAAGATGTAAACGCATTTGCAAAGCGATTCATGGGCAGAGGCCCCACAGGCACAACTCTATACAGACTGCTGTCTGTATCTGAGCAAATGTTGATTGGCTATCAGGCATCACTAAATAAGCCAAACCTGACCTTGCACAAAATCTAAATGGATTGGTTGGCAGAGAAAATGGCAAATTTTTGAAGATGGGCCGTATAAAATTATACAGTGAAAACAATAAAGTGAGTATTGTTTCTTGGACAAAGAGAAAGAGAGAAAATGCAAGACTGTACATTCTGGTTTGAAAACTGTTCATCCTCATGTGCGTGTACATGCAGAGGTATAATTTGGCCTTAATGCTGAAAGTGTTGGGCCAGACTGCCAGTTCACAAACTCTGTGTTATCCTACCTTAATAATTTTAAGACAAAACTGAATAACGTAGCACATAAATAAAATTGCAGCTCTTGCAATTTGAAAATTCCACTGTTTTAAATAGCAATTCGATGTAAAAACGATTTATCATTCAGCCCCGGTTAAAAGCATTCAGCTGGTATCATCACTGAAACATCATTATAACCTCTGTCTTCATATTGCTCTCTCAGTCGGACGGAACTGCCAGACACACCGCTGGATTTACTACAACTCCCAGAAACTCTGAGAGCCGAGCGTCTACGGGCAAACTCCTCTCCTCGGGACATCTCTCCAAAGGCACATGGTATGGCCTGGAATCAGCACATGCATTCAAATTTGCCACTGCTCAAACATTTGAAACAACTGTCGAATTAATGATTTTAGTTAGTTTATTTAATTTTAAATACAATAATAATTTTTACAATAGATTTAAATACAAAACTAAAAACCAAATGGTGTTTTAGTTGTTTTTTTAGAAGAATTAAGGAAAGAGAGAAATCTGCACACATGTATTGCAATCAGCACATATTTCACTCCTTTTTAGATTTTTGCTTGAAGGCGACCCACCAGAGAGTATTTTGGTATACAGATATTATTTTACCATTTTTGTAAGCTAGCATTTGGTCTACCTTCTTGATCACATTAGAGACATATAATTCAATACAAGACAAAAGTATCTATATACAGTTTTGGATGGTCATTTTATTTTAACTTCATTCTTGGTGGTTCAAATACTTGTTACACAGCTCAAAAGCTTGCAGCCAGGCTTTTCACAGAAACCTATAAACCATTAGCAATGTATTAGAATCAATTTATACATCTGTATCTGTAACCAAATTGGTTTTATATTATTGAAAACAGTGATTACAAACTTTTGAGTGCTAGTGTAGTGTAATCTGTAACCAAACCCCAAAACTGTAACCAGACTGGTTTTGTATTACTGAAAACATTGATTACGAACTTTTGACCAGTGGTACACACACACATTGCATTTGTTGTGCAAGTAATTTAGTAGTTTTAAACACCCCATTTCTTTCTGCTCTTCAGGCCCCACCGGAACTCAGCCAGGAAAGGGTGGAGGAAGCCGGAACGAACCTGAGCGTAAAGGAAGAGAATCATACGCTCACCCAACTGTTAACCAGTCAGACGATAGGAGAAAGAGGCCTCATCGGTCCAGCCCTGAAAACGGTCCCCCAGAAACGAGGAGGCGTATGGAAGCATTTCGGCAAAGAGAAGACAGTCCTTCTGGGTCTTCAGATCCAGGCAGCGACAGTGATGCAGATGAGGAGGAAGAAGAGGAGGACAAGGAGAGTGAGTGGGACCATAATGGCAACAGCAAGAGAGTGAAGAGTGAGGAGGGCGTGCCCAAGCAGGCCGGCAGGGTCAGTGGTCTGGATAAAGCCCATAATGGCCGCGCTGTGATTCAGCAACTGAAAAGCGTAGTGACCAGCACGGCTGGATCAAACATTAAAACTGAGCGTTCAACCACCGGAGGGCGATGGGGTCACCCTCACCCCAGTGCCCATGCCACCAGTGGCATAAATGGCTGCAGCCCCCCTTCTCAAGCTCCAGACCCGATCGCTACAGAAGCTCCGGCCAAGGGCCTTTTCAGTCCCCCGTCTCCTACCCTGTCCTCACCCATCCCGGCTTCGCCACTGCCCAGAGAAGAGCGCCCAATTCACAGTGCTCGCGGCCCAGATTATGAGCTCCTCCAGAGACTGGCTGCAGGTGGGGCAGCTGGCCGAGTCCTCTTCCACCCATTGGCCCTCGGCCCTCAGGGGCCTCAGAGCCTTTACGCCCCGAGCACTATTCGCTACGCACCGCCTGAGCTGCCCACGACGCACACTGACAGCCACCGCACTGATCACACCCCCAAATCGCCCGCTTTCTTCCCTCACCTGCAGAGGATTGCTGGGCTGCCACCCTTCAGCGGCTTCTCACCCTCAGAACCGCCATTTCCCCCATCGCTGCCCTTCTGCATGAACGGACTGAGAGGGGCAGCAGGAACGGAGGAGGACTGAGAAAGAGAGGTCAGATATAGAGAGGTGGAGAGAGAGAGATGAGAGGAATTGATTTATCCATGCTCCACCCACAGGTGCATTCTTTTTTAACTACTGTTTTGAGGTTGTACAAGCTTTACAGAATGCTGGTGAAATGTTCAGCCCATTGAGAAATTGTAGGACGAATTATTCACGTTGGAATGCTATTTTTTATTTTAGGATCACTACGTAATGTTAAATGTCCAGTTTAATATGATACAAATAACTAATGGTGTTGTTCACATACCAAGCAGGGTTTAAAAAGCCCATATAATGGAAAACTAAATCTTCTCTTAGTTGGAAGTGCTATGACAACAATGCTAATGTTTCAAAACATGCCATTCACTACCCAGTCCATACAGTCCATACATGGAAACTATGCTGCCAAAACAGCCCGTTTTGTATTAATTGTTTCTGTGATTGTACGAGAACTGACTCATTTACATTTATCCACCTAATCAGTCTACAGTAGTTTAACCCTGCACATTCATACTGAAGTTCTAAGGAGTGTTTCAGAGTGCTTTTTGAATGAGGCAGCCAATCAGAACAGAGTTCATTTACATATATCGATCTTAAAGGCACAGTGACAAAAACAGTCTATTTAATTCTGAAGGATAAAGAGAGGTTGGTAAATGGTCATGTAAAATTTATTATGAACATTCGTGGTACATAAAACCACATGCTCTAAGAGGAAAATACAAGAAAAATGTAGTATATAGGCCCTTTAGCTCTGCTTAAACACATTCATTTAAAGCTTGTAACAGTCATGCAAGCATATTCTTTACTTTATACTTGTAGGTACAGCCTAACTGAATATTATTGGAGTAGACTGTTAGCTGTCTGACACACTATTCAGCCTAGAACTAGTAAAATGAAAATTTTTATTTAATTTACATACAAATTGTAACTGCAAACATTTAATCTTACTTCACGGTCATACAATTTGTAATTGCAAACATGCATGCATTAGTGAGACCCTGCTGTGTGGGTTTCCTCTTTTTCAGTGATGCTTACAAAAGAAGTTTGAGTGCTCCCCCTTGTGGAGACGCCTCAGCCTGCCAAATAGCGTTGCTATGACCAGCCTATACTGTTTGTCATTCAAATTGCAAACTAATTATTTAGCCAATTCATAAAGAACTTTAAATTTAAGAATTTTTTTAAATCAAGTAATCAAGACATCCTAACACACACACATAAAACTATACCATAAAAATAAATATATTTTGGAATGAATTTGAAATAAATTTGTGTGCTAGTTTCTCATTATGGAATTTTTCCCAGCGTTCTGTAAAGCTTGTCCCAAATACTTGACAACACTTGCTAAAAAAGAACACATTTGTGGGCAGAGCATGGGTAGGTCAGTTGACAGCAAAGATGGCACAATATTGAAAAAGACTGCTAGGAGTGAGGCAAATGTGAAAGCAGTGCAGGTTCGTCACTCAGTCTTCCCAGCATCCTCTCTGGCTAGCTCATGAGTGTGCATGGGTCTTCCTCTCTCTGGACAAGCAGGAAAAGCCATACTGAATAAACAGAGGTCATCATGCAACCACATATACTGGTACATGGGGGGAAAACTCCAGAAGGGAATACATCCATTAATGGAATGAAAGGGACAAAGGCATATCAGGACACGATCACGCTCTGGACATTTGCTGAGTGCCAAAAAAAAGACGTTTCTAGTCTGAGATAATAAGAAAGCACAGTCCCTTCATGGAGTGATCACGGTTAAGCCCCTTTCGCGGGTTTAAATCCTTTAAACAATGTAGTATTTTTTATTTTGTACAGAAAGACATACAATATTTGTCTCTTATTCTCGTGTCTTTGAGCTTATGGTTAAAAAAAAGAGTCACTGAAGTGATCCGTTCAGAAAATGCAGCCATATTTAAGAAATTTGGGATTTAAAGATTGCTTCCATGCAAGGCTCCAAAGCCCTATACAGATCGTGTGAACAAAATAATGTCATGAACTAACTTTCTTATTGGTATTTAGGGTCAGTTGGGTGGGAGGGTGGGTAAGTGTGTCTTTCATTGTTCTTCATGTCCAAGCACTTAAGGCATTTGGTTTTGAACATATAGCACTTCTTTCATGACCACACAATGTTTTGCTCCACTGTATAATACATTCTGTAGTGGAATGGCACTGGTCAAAAAAAAACAAAAAAAAAACAAAAAAAAACCTTTTTTTTTGATGACTTGAAAAATGTGAAGGGAAATAAGGCTTAATAAACTCTAGTCAGTACATAAAACTTGAAGGAGTCAGTGAGGATATGGTGGCTAAAAGCATTGTAGTGGTCAGAACTGGTCTTCATACAGTTCAGTGGACATTGAAAGTTGTTACAAAAGCAAGTTATTGAACACTGTTCAGATAATGGTATTCCAAAACGAACTGAATATAGCAGTCTCTCTGCACAACTGTAGGCCATGCCAAAAAAGAATTTCAAAATGTGAATGATCGTAACAGTTTTCACTGACTAAAGGCTAAGCCCTTTGTATTTTACTTTTAAGTGCACATGTGAGTGATGTGTTCAAATGAGTGTGCGCGAGTGTGTGTGCGTGTGTGTTGGGGGGGTGGGGCTGGGGGAGGGCATACACACAAGTGTGTAATATGACTCATGAGATTGATGTGGTCTCTTAACCTTCGCCATCACTGTGAATCTAACCTTTTTATGTTGAAATGTTTGTGAAAATACAATGGCATCAATCACGGTAAATGAAAATTAAAATCTGCAAAGATTATTATAACGATAATACAGATGAGATAATAAACTCTATTCCTGTAGTGGAGTGTCTTTTTTGTCCTCTCCATGTTGGAATGGTGATGCAGACATCACACCTATGTTTTTCAGTTGCTTAAAATATTACATTGTTAAAAACATGTTACACAACACTTGAACCTTTTGCAATATTCTGGCAAACCTGAACCACCACAGCTTTCTATCAGGAGTAGACAGACCCTACTAGAGGACAAAAAATGTGTATGATGGCACAACATCCCACAGTGCCTCAAGAGTCCTTAAAATCCTTACTGGACCAACTTTTTTGTACATGCATGACTCATACATTCTTTAAAATAAATGCTCTGAATGGAACCAAAAAGGTTCTTTGGAGTGATGCCATAGAAGAACCATTTTGGTTTCCCTGAAGAAACTTTCACTGCACAGTCCTTCAAAGTATTACATATCATCAAAAATTAAAGTACTTTGCAACTACAATACATCCAGAGCAGGGGTATCTAACTGGGCTTCTCCCAGGCCACAGCTCTGCAGAGCAGTTTCCCTCTTTTAACAATTCAGGCCTTGTTAATTAGTCAATGAGTTGATGTGTTTAGTGAGGCAGAACATTAAACTCTGCAGAGCTGTGACCAGAAGGGAATTCAGTCTGACACTTATAAAAGTTCTCATTTATAAAATATACTTAAATTTTATTTTAAATTTGTTTTTAGGATAAGCTCTTAGCATTTGCATGCGACTGATTTGTTCATGAACCACGTATCCTAATGCCCATAGCACACTCAGACCGGCGTTCATACGCCAGGTCTATGAGCATTTTCATGCCAAATTTGCTTTTTAGAAATCACTACTTGAACGTGAGTTTTTGAATACAAAAATGTTAAGATAGAATCTGTGAGTGCAAATGTTTTATAAATTAGGCTCCTGCTCTTAAAATAATGGTTCCTAAATGGTTCTTGGCTTGGATGTACAGTTCTAGTAGAGTGAAAATGTAGGTTTGGATACCTCTCTTGCGATGGATTGTGGTGTGTTTTGTGCTGATAGTGAAATTCCCACAACCTCTTCAAAAACAAACCAAATAGCAAAGGGAAGTGATCTAGTATGGACTGACTAAAGTGATAAACTAGCTCAGTCTACTTTGTCAGCTCTTCCTCCAAAGCGATCTGAGGAGCTCCTGCCATAATCTGCATGCAGATTCCTAACTCACCCTTTGGCTTTGAAGCTCGCGCGGTTATAGCCGTGCAGGGGCTGCAGGCTTGAGACAAAAGGCGGACGGGGTGATTGAAACGCGAGGCGCGCAAGCCATGGCAAGCGGTGTTGTGTTGTTTCAAGGAACCCCAGGGAGGGGCTCTGACATTGAAGACGGGTTAAGTCCTGTTTTACATTCAAGTGGCAGGCCCCAGTTCATTAGTGTGAGGATCATTCCCTCTTGACGACTGGAGGAATTGCATACTAAAGAGCTGGAGTTGTTGGGGAGAAAAAGGCGAACGGCGCGTGCCTGTGTGTGCAGGCAATAATGGATAGATGGTGGAAGTGACCTAAAGGCCTCTCCTTCAGAAAAGCCTCACACGGTCCTCAGAAATGAGCATGACGATCTACAGTTGTCTTGATCAGGAAGGTGAATATGGGTTGGGGCTTCTGTGTCATGATGAGTTCTCAAAGCTTCAGAGAGAGGTCTGAATGGACTCTTGAGACATGGTTGGGGTTTTAAGGGGGATCCAGCTGTAGACCCTCTGCATTTATGAACTCTGGTCAGGTACTGCTGGGAATGCGAGGTCTGGCCAGTGAGTGTGTGTTTGGGCGCGGTGCCCTTTAGCCGTGTGGCGGCCCCTGCAGACACTCTGCATGTCAAACAGAGCTGCGCAGTCAGACACAGCCAAGGGAGGGGTGGAAAGAGAGAGGGAGAGTGAGAGAGATAGGCAGACAGGCTGTGGGCCCAGTGCTGCAGAGAGACACACCCAGAATCAGTAACGAACAAACTGCGCCAAAACGGCAAAGGAGGACGACTTACAGGAGTTTTAACATGGGAAAGAGCAGAGAGGAGCCGACTTGTGCTTAATCTAACTCTTGGCAGCCACAATCTTCAGAGTCAGACAGACATATGGTAACGCTACACATCACGATGTTCAGGTTCAGGAGATGTTTCACGCTGCATCTGAACGATGAACTGGGGCCAAGTGCACAGGCCTGACCAAGAGCGATTGGGCTGTCTCTCAGACTTCATTTCTTTCTGGCAGAAGCACTTTGTCACACGTTGAAAAATGGGCATGACTCTCAATTCTGACACATCCGTGAAGGAATCGGGCCCTGTGGGTGTGACAAGCCATACTAGATAAGATCTACAGGAGAAAAAAGAAAAATCTTTGAGTTTGGCGTAGTACTCTGATTCAAATGATAGGTGACTTTTCGCTTTTCTATAAACCAAAAGAGCATTTCAAAGCTCCATCGAGGTCCTCTCTCATACCAATGATCTGTCAAATCTACCTTAACATCAGGGTTTTCTCAGAAATGACGAGAGACAATTGCACTTGCGCCACTGGCTCTAATGTCCTGTTTATGTACATATTCATAGCCTCATTATGTACAGTAAATAGCACTGAAGGTCATGCATCAACAGTCTACAATCCCATGATGATAACAGCACAAACGCTTTAAAAAAAAACAAACATACAATGAATGTCATGTGGCCATTAATTTAAAGAAAGAAAAAAAGCACAGACAAGCAATTTCCATTTTCCATTTTTTCACATTCTCCCACACTCCTTCACAAAAGTCACACACAGCACCCCTGACTGATGACAAAGTTTTCCAGGCTGTATGGAAGTTTCTCAAGGCAAAGATACATTTCTTGTTCCACCTCTCCTCTAAAACATGATATGCTTACAGATTTACAAAACCTAGACTAATTAGGTTTGAGGATTTACAAGATCTAAACCAGCCTATAAATTATATTCAGCGTTTCATCTAAGGTCTCTGTGACAAGCAGTCATTTCCTACAGATGATAAAAACATAAAAAAATAAATAAATAGGCAGCCCTTTTGAGATGAAACAACAGAATAAATGACAGATGAAATCAATAGATCTTGACACATTTGAAAAACCTCATATATGTACAGTTGATTAAACTACCTGCACAATCAAAACAGTCTTTCTACATCATGTTTCTTTAACTTTGAGAAATGTGCACCACCAACCTAGCGGCCTCAGAAAAAAAAAATAACGTCTTTCTTTAACTTACACTATCAATCCCCATTCGAAATACATCATTTTTAGACCAGGACTAGACTTAGAAACACAGTTCTGTGAACGGTATAAAGAATTCAGAAACATCTAATTGGAGTTAGATGTTTAAAGAGAATTCCACTGATTTACAATTTCTGCATGATTTAATCGATGAGATGTAGACGAAGTCATTCAGAGTGATTGGATGTGAAATGGTTAATTGAAGAGAAACTTACTGACTCAGACTGCTGACTCAGACAGTGGTGGTGATAGGAACCAGGGGTCACAATGTCTACAACACAAATGTAGCCATTTTATTAACTGTCCAAAATAGCCAATGAACCTACAGACGTCCTCTGAATTTTTATATATAAATGCTGATAATAGTAAAATTGTGGTGAACTTATAATTTGAGGAGTACTTACAACTTACCACCTTACATGTATTGCTCCTACAGGAATGATTTTTATACATTTTATCATAACAACTATCATAAAACAATGTCTGAGGCATCAGTCAACATACCTGTAAATATTTAACAGCTTTCTGCTAGTTAGCTTTCAGAGGCATTAAATTCTTTAAACGTCTGGTTGCCATCACCACCACTGTGGTGAGTAAGTTTCTGAATTAGTAGGTTTCTCTAGAATGGCCCATTTTACATCAAACCACTCTAAATGACTTGTGTTAATAACTGAATAATACATAAATGTAGGACACATTGGTGCAATTCCTCTTTATCTAGAAAAGAACCAGTGCCTACACAGAGCACTGAATCGTTTTACCCAGTGCAGTTTAGGCTTTAGAGGATTTTTTATCTCAGTAAGCTGATGTGGGCTTGATGCCGGCGAAGGGCAATCGAAAGCACACATGTGGACGAATTCAAATGTCAATTTGTATAGAATTGTGTCCCACCATTTCAGTTTCGACCCAAATCGATGAAAGACCTGTTGAACGGATTATTGATGTTTAGTTTGCTGAACAACAGGGTACATACAGCATCAACAGTGAGCAGCGAAAGGAAAAACACGGTTGCAAACAGCTCAGCATTGCTCTGATTCTGAGTGGCCTGTGCAATGTGCACTGAATAACAAAAACTCTGGCAAAACATACACCTTTCAGGCACTCCATCAGAGGAAGCACATACGTGCTTATACACAGATTTGATATACACAGAGAATGCACCCACTCTATACACTGCAGTTAACGTCATCAGGAAAAAGGGAAAAACTACTGTTCTAAAATGAAATTAACAAAGCTGTGGAGAAAAAAATGTAATCACTTTTAAATACGTTTTTGGTTTCCTCATAAGTTTACTACAAAAAAAGTGCTAGCATACGAGTAAAATATTGGTACACTTAGCCCACTCTTATTAAGACAGTGCTTTTTTTTTTTTTAGCCTGGGACACTCCTTCAATAAAGGGTTCATTCAGGAGATAAATTCTATTTGCAGGTTGAAAATCAGTTTATAAATATTTTGGTGAAACATAAACTTAATTTCAGTTTGTCACCTGAAAATGGCCAAAAAGTAAAACCTGAATTAAATGATCATAATAATATCACTATGTATTTAAAGCAATAGCATTAAACCCAAAGTATATCAATGCTATTACCACTCATCATCCCTAAAACATATCTGACCAGACATTCCCTCACTGCACTATGATGTTTGTGTGCTTCATAAGACACGACTGCATTTCAGGCAAAAGAAAAATAGACAGAACAAAAAGGTAAACATTTCCAAAACACCAAGAGAAAGCCTTGGATTGAAACATAGTACATTACTCTCCATGACATCTAGCATGAATGAATAAGGTTGTATAAGGTTGTACAGACTTAAGCATGTATGTGCATTCAGGATGCAACCAGCTGGGGCTCCAGACGATGTGGAAAAATTAACTGAATAGCTTGATTCGCAAGTCAGTCTGCTAGGCCGGGAGCCAGAACACTAGATTATAGGACGCTGCACAACTTAATAAATTAGGCTGAAGAACTTCAAGCTTCTAATGGACCAGCAGCCAGCCTCAATTATAGCATACTGGCAGAAGTAAGAGACATTTAAAGGGATATCCCATTATTTCTACTTTTATTTTCCACAGAAAGCTCTTTCATAGTCAATGTGTCTAATTCAGCAGGTTAAGCAAATTAAAATTCTTGTAAGTTTGAAGAAGAAGGGTCTAGTTTCATAAAGGTCATAGGGCTTCACAATATACTGAAAGTTTTACAGCAATTAGCGTTTGCAATAGTGAAATCGTAAAAGGCTGTAATTCGGAAAAATCAAGCCTTTAAAGGAGAATTGCACAGATTTTTCAAAATTGAAAAAAGTCCATTTTTAATTTTATGTAACCAAAGTCATTCAGAACGGTTTGATGTGAAATGTGCCACTGTAAAGAAATAGAGTCGAAATTTAAGCTTTTTATTCCAAAACGATTATCAACTTGTAACACTTTCGGATATAAGTACAATGTCTAATGAAAAACCATTTTTATTTCTAGAATAAAAAGTGGTATTAATCATAAAATAGCTTTGATATTCATTGTATGTGTAACAAAATATCTCAAAAGTGATCTGTAACACGTTTTAGAAGGAAACCAAACGTTCTTATAATTGTTGATAGGAACCAGCTGCCTGAAGTGCTTAATGTCCCTAAAAGCTACCTCACAAACTTGTTAAACAAAATGGTTAAGAATAGGTTTCCTGCTGCCTGAGACATTGTTTTATAACAGTTTTGTGAACACTTAAATTTGAAATCAAAATCATACTTTTTTAATATATACAGGGATGCGTGAAGAAAAAAGTGCTCAACGATTACTATTATTTTTCAGATTTACTGCTACTTTACCATTATCAACAGAATGTTTCTCTACAACGAGCCATTTCATATCAAAACACTGAATGACTTTGTTTACATCCCAATGATTGAATTATACAGATTTTTTTTAATATCTGTGAAATTCCCATTTAATACATCACAAAAATGTTATAGTGTGCTGTGAGCATGTTCACATGACCCAACAAAGGGGAAAATTACAATCAAACTAATATAGGTTGACTTGTTTTAAATATATTGTTATTGCAATAAGTCCTATTGCAACTGCAATATGTAGTAAGATAATCACAATATTATATTTTGTCCATATTGTGCCACCCTAGAAGGCTATTATACAGAAACTGATCCCAATGGATTTGACAACCAGTGCAACTCAAACAGACTAACAAAACTCTGTCACTGACCTGAAATTAGAGACTTTAACACTAATTTCACTTCAGTGATTTCATGATATCAAGTTGACCACTATAAAGAAACAGGCTCTCCTTCTGCACCTGCTGGAAACCAAAGACAGCTCCTATTCAGCCATGATAATGGAGGTAAACTACAAAGAGTTAGAAACTTGAACAACAAGATAATGGAATATCCCTTTAAGTAGAAATTTCAAGTGTTCAATCTAGATTTAAAATAGCTTGTCATCTTTTATACACACCCACACATACACACTAATTCAGCTATGTTGTAAAGGAAAGATCATTATTTATGGCCTTGATCCTCACGCACCCAAGAGGACACAGACCATTGTACAGGATCACAAACCGCCTAGGTTCTCTTATTTAACATCAGTCAGCATAATGATACTCTCGATTGCCTTTGAAGTTATCTTTTCATTGATCTGAGATCAGTTTTGAGTTTATATTTATGGATAGAATGTAAATACAGAGAACTGGTCCTGGACCAGTTCTCAAACAGCGCAGGAGTTTTCCCACTCCATTACTTCTCCTGGCCTCTATCGCTTGCATGGTGTCGATCTCGTCGAGCCCTACACTCCGCACACTCTCCACCTTCATCGCCACCCTCCTCTTCCTCATCCTCGTCACGGATAATCTCCACTTCGAGGCGGCCGATGTACAGCGACACCGCGCACAGCCAGAAGAGGGCGACACTGGACACCACAGCAGTGTGGAGCAGCACAGACGGCAGAGAGAGAAGCATGATTCTCCTCAGGGTCAGCAAACTGCCCACATAGGATGCGCCCCCGAACGACACACACACTCCACCAAGGATAAAAAAGGCTAAAGAAGGACGAGAAGTAAAGAAGAGGTTGTTACTGTATTTATATTAATTCGCTGCTTAGGCAAATGCTCGTATCCTCTATCATAAAATTATAATTTTGGTCAGCTCTAAAGTAGATAAAATTACATATACATTGCCAGTCAAAAGCGGCATGTGTTGGGAACACCATTTTCTTTTGTAAAGTTGCAATTAACATTAGATCTTCAATGTTGATATTCACTCAAGTAAAATTACTGAAAACCAAACATGCACATTTATTAAAATGATTTTGAAAAGCTGTCAACAAACCACAATGTAAATGCCGTACAAGACTCTAGACAACTGTAGATATTAAAAACTACACAACTGGTGAGCTTCACTGCTAAAATTACGTATTAAAGATTCATAAAAATGAAAGTTTTAGTCTTATGACAGTAAAACCCATAATTGCAACCTGACACCCTATCTGATCAAAAGAACTAAACTAAACAGACAGGTATTGCTAATGTCATCTTACAGACACAGGTTATGGTGTATGTTTGATTTAGGTATTTGATAAGGTGCACTGGTATGAGGAAAGACAAGTACAGAGAGCAAAGAAAGCAGAAATTGTGGAAAACCAAGAACATTTAAAAACAAGACAAAGAAAAAAAAACTGAAAGAACTTTATACCATATCCTGCTTCTCTTCCCGCATCACTCTGTACAAATGCAATGACGCCAATCCCGGTAGCCAGTAAACCATTTCGGAACCATGACAAGAACCCTAAAATGAAAACACATGGTTATACAAGACATTTATCACTCTCTTTAATTAACTACTATATTTAAAAAAAAAAGCTAATTCAGAGGCAAAAGCTAATTCAGAGGCATCCTGAACAAGCCCAGCAGAGTTTGATGCTTGCTAGGGATGTCCAAATATGGGAATTGCGAGCCGATGCCAATATCTGACATTTTTCATGTACCTATTTGTTGATGCCAATGCAAATAACGTAGATTCTACATTCATAAAATTGAGTAAGTTCACCTGTATTAGCTTTACAAAAAACACTTATCTCTAGGATAACAAAAGCAGCAATATGAGTAAAATGTAGACATTTTAGCAGATTATCCCAGTGACACCTAAACATTCCGCACTTCTGAGGTATAATAAATGTCATCAAATATCAATTTCAAGTACCAATCAAATCTAAACTTCTGTCCCATTTTCAATTTTTTAAGCAATAGCGATATAATTCTGGTATCACTGTGCATCCCCAACAATTTCCCTATTCAAAAGGCACCAACTAGACCTAGTAATCAACCAACGAGCTGAATCAGTGTAATAGAACAGGGAAATGACAAAACTGTGCTACTTCCCCAGTGCTGCAACTGAGGTAAATCACCTGCAGGGCAATCCATCCTAATTAACTGATCTTTCTAGATTTCTGCATAGATCAATCATTAAAGTAAACAAAGTCATTCAGAGTGGTACAACAATGTGAAATGCATAATTCTAGAGAAACTTACCGAGCCAGAATCGTTTACAGCAGTGGTGATAGGAAACAGATGTCTGAAGAGTTAAATGCCTCTAATGCCTCTACTACACAGAAAGATATTACATAACACTGTTACAAATCACTGTTATCGGAACAAAACATTGTATTTCCATTTTTTTCGATTTCAGTTTTTGACATATTTTGAAATTGTCTGTTGCTCTTTACATTGTGTGTAAATTTCGTGATGAATGGACCAACAGAAATGGTCCAAAATTACTTGGAAAAAAGTCTGGTTCCATTGACTTACATTGAAAGTAAAATATGTTTTTTCCTTCTGTAAAGTTGTCGTTTTGAAGATACGAGGTTATGTTTTCCGACAGCAGTGAAATGCATCTGATGTCTGAAAGACTGCTTTACAATACACGAAAAGCTTTAAGTCAATTTTTTTTGTTCACATTGGAAAATTCCAATATGAACATACATTTTTTTTTAATTGAAAGGCAGAATAGTATCCAAAGATTATTTTTGTCACCTTTACCATTATTTCATCATTATCAGCATTAAGTGCAAAATGTGCTGGTAGAGTAGGCTCATGTTTGGTTTTGGATAGTAAATAAAAGATCAATATTTGTGTTGTAAACATCACAACCCCTGGTTCCTATCACCACCAATGAAATCTGAGAGGCTAAGTTTCTCTACAATTCCATTTCACCATTTCACATTAAATCACCCTAAGATTATTCACATCTTAAGGTCTGAATTATGCAGAAATTTAAAAAACAAACATTTTTAACATGTTTATCTCCAAGTGAGCAACCAGTCAGATCAAATGAAACTCTTCTGTTTATAAACAAAGTTGGAAAGGAGGGGTTTCCAGAATATGCAGTCTGATTGGACTGGACTCTGAGGATAAGAGCATCACTGATCATGATCACACCTTTCATAAAGAGATACCTCACCTGTTTCGTGAGACTTCCTCAGCATCTGTGGAGAAACATAACAAAAGAGAGATTACAACACATGGCCAACGTTGATCTCTACAGTGCAATGCAAAGCAAATGACTAGTGTTTTATCCATTTACAACGAAGTGCAAATCAGAAGTCTGATGGTTTGTTATTAGACTTTTCACTGTTTAAACTATTTTAAATTGGCCTTTCGCATACACTATCACTATTTAGAGTGGAAGGAGTTTTTTTTGCATTCAGAAATGCATCTGACTGCACAGCATTTATGTTAAGTAAGAAATTTAAATGCACTGCAAACCACATAACTGAGGCTAAATTATCTACACTGTAGTCCAACCTGCACTGAAAGTAAAGTGCCCTAATGAAGTTCGGGGAAAGATGAGGTGATGGAACTGCCGTTGCGTTTAAATGGAAACAGCCCTCATCAGCTTAACGCGTCACTGAGGAAGACGAACGGTGTGTTTAAAGTATGTCTAAAACGGGCCAGCCGAGTCAGTAATGAGAGTGAATGTAAATAACTAATTAAGCTGAAGTCAGCTTCTTCTTCGACCTTTCCCGTTCCACCTTAAATGGCACACAAGTCTGGCCTGAGGAGTTATAATAAAAACCGCTGCTCCATTTAAGGTGGAACGGGACAATTCGAACAAGCAGCCGCCGAATAGGAAGTCAAGTTCAGCCTGGTCTGTAATGATCTGACCAGCGCGTCCGCCTTGTCCAGCTCTGCCAGCTGCTGCTCAGTCCTGGTTCGGCTCCACGCGCTCTTGTCCGCGATCGCGCGGCGGGTCTCGCGCTGCAGGAGGCGCTCAGCGCGCGCGGGTCCGGGCCGCCGGACAGCCTGGGCCAGCGGAGAGGCGAACCGGCGCAGATACCGACACGACAGCCAGCAGAGAGAAGCCATAGCAGAGAGCCATACAACACAAACACGGCCTTTTAGCCCTCTGAACTCTCCCCGCCGCGGAACGAGCGCTGAAAAGAGGCGCCCAGCTGAGCGAGGAGTTCAGCCGAGAATACTAACAGCGCCATCTAGCGTCTGTGGAGCTCGCCTTCATCGGCTGTGATCTGGCGTTTTGGCCACTTTCTGCCTTCAGGACAGTTTTTATTAACGAGAAATTCAAATAACTGAAACGAATAGAATCCAGTTTCTGACCTGAAGGACAAAAAATATCCAGTGTTTTTTCTGCAAGTCTGTTTCTGGCAGTAGTAGCAAAAAGACTTATTATTTAAAATGTTTTTGGACTCTTTTATCTCAGAATAAAGACTTACTGACTCAAAATTCTGGCTTAGTATGTAAATATAGTTATTTTTAAATATAGTTATCTATAGTTAATAGTTTAAACAATGGCTAATTTGCTTGCCATTTTGACTTAATAGTAACTTGTTACATTTAGAGAATGCAATTTTGCATCAAAAAACAAGATTTTAAGAAATAATCATTATTTGAATATAGTATAGAATTACTAATAAGAATATTCAAGTCAAATTGCCGAGATAGAAAAGTCAGTTTTTCTAAATGACTGTCAGAGACGGGCAACACGCTTGTTTTCTCCTCTAACTGGCGAAAACTGGCTCCCAGTGTTAGTGGTCGTACTTTTCGGTGCGTCCACAAGGAGGCGCTTTTGTACCACGAGTCAATACAAAGAAGAGTCGCTCGACTGGCTCCACAAGGGTGGGTGAAAAACAACTTTCTGTGTGATTTTTATCATTGTGTTTCATGTGTTGAATCTTGTGTAAAGTCACACAGTATTGTGCGCTGCACATTTTCATAACTATATAATTATGTAAGTATTAACCTGTAGTCGTGTGTCAGGTCACCCACAGGTCACGCTAGCCTACTTTTGACCCAGGATGTGATAATTCATGCACAGATAAGTCATTCACATGAGCTGTTAGAGGTGATAAGGATTTTAAAGAGTCTTTATTGGCCAAGCGAGTGTGTGTGTGTGTGTGTGTGTGTGTGTGTGTGTGTGTATGTATGTCTCTGTGTCATTTTGTGTGATTGAGTATGTGTATGCATGAATACAAATGTGGGCTTGTGTTGGCGTGTGCACGTGCCCATGTGTGTGTGTGTAGGCCCTGTATGTTTGTGTGGTCTTCCCTAGATAAGTGTGAGGCCTCTTCCTGCCTAACTGTGGGGCCCTTTGTCTCCAACGGCTCCTCAGGGAACATAGGCCACCACCCTGCACTACCTGATGGCTCCTTAGCGTGAGGAGCATAGAGAGGAAGCCAGCCAGTCACGGGAAAGCTTCAAATATATGTGTGTGTGTGTGCGTGTGTGTGTGTGTGTGTGTGTGTGTAAGGAGTTTGTGAAGGAAAAGAGTAGTCTTTGATGTATAGAGCAGCTGAACCCAAGTCTTGCTCCACATTGTCACGCTATAGTGAGCTGACCAATCAGAGGACAGTTTTCTGACTGTTTTTTCCCCCAGACCTGAGGAATGCATTTATAGAAGTACAGTGTGATGTCATTTATTGGCTATTAGTGTAATCCCAGAAAGCCAGTTGTCATTCAACATCAAAAGTGCTGATTTATGGTCAATGCTGAAAAATCAACATTAAGCCAATTTTGGTATTTGGTTCATTTTGTTGTTTTTTTTTTCAACACTGTATAGTAACCAAAAAGTAATTGTTGAGTGACATTTATTCAGTGTTGATGTTTTAAATGCTTTTCACTGTTACAAAGGTGATATTGATTCAACATTGATATCTTGTTAGCTGATTCTGTGTTAAAAAAAAATCTCACTGTCCAAAAAATAGTTGTTTTTTCATTTTTTCCTAATTTTGTGTGCTACAATTAATACGTTTTTCAAACACTCCTCACAACAGTGTTTATGAAACAAACATTTTTTGGCGGAGTATTGATAGGTCAATTCCTGTCACTTACACATTTTAGCTTCATAGTAGTTACTGAATAATTTATAGTACTTACTGAACAATACTAATAGAATTATCTTATTATTACATGTAATTATAACTGAGTAATAACTGATTAATAACCCTTTTCAAGAGAGAAAATGAAATACATTTGATCTACATTACCATGCTAGCCAATGTAATTTAGGGTTCTAGTATTATTTACCACCTTGTCTAGTTGTAACTTCCTGAGATGATCGATGCGCAACATGGCTGACTTTTCAGTGTCAAATCAATGGCCAATACAATGAGCAAGATCAGTGCAAATTGAACGTCAGAGATGTATGTTGATTAAGTGGTTTTGCCCAACATCAAATCAATATTGTTTTCTATCTGGGACATAGACACTTACTTTTCTATGGAAATGTACAAATGGAAATGTTTTAGAGTCAGCTAACATTTAAACTGACTGATATAACTAAAATCAATGATGTGATCAATCAGATGAGGTACGGTTGTACATCCAGTGTGTTGTGGCTCTCTTTCTGTCTTTTTAATTACCTTTTAATCTTATGATGTTTTTTATTGCTGTACAGCACTTTGGATCAACCACAGTTATGTACAATGTGCTTTATAAATAATTGACTGACTGACTAAATTCCTTGTATACAAAATGATCTCCTTACTGAGTAATAGGCATCTAAACTTATGAAAAATCAACCAATGGCAGAACTGCTTTTATCAGATTTTTCATAACATACTTAAGTTACTAAAACAAACAAGAAAAGGTCTAAAACAGCTTGAGCAGGCTCAAAAGAACACTTCTAACGCTGTAACATACTGTTATTGATGGGAATGGACAAAATTACAGATATAATCCAGCCTTTCAAGATGGCCACTCTTGCTGTTTTTAGCTATGCAACATTTTTATCGATAACTGTGTCATCCAGTGTCAGAAATTACACAAGCAAGTCTGTTTGATATTACGTAACAGGTAGACATGGTTTGAAAAAGGTGGGCAATGATTCAGTCATGTAGTTTGAGTTTACATAGTGCTAATGGATGGCCATAAGCCTGTATTACCTGTTAGCTCCGTTAGCCTCATAGCTTCAGAGCAACACTCGGCTGATCGACTATATTTGGTTTAAAGGAGAAACTGTACATTTGTGTATATTCTGCCTGTGATAGGACAATCATGGGAATCGTGTATAGGGAGCAGTCGGAAAGAAGATGGAGGCTGGGGGGGTCAGTAAGTGATCTGATCTGAGGTTTATTCTTGTCTTAAGAACGCAATGTGACTGCGTGATTTGTGACATGGTGGTAGCTTTCTTGCCCTTTCTCTTCTCTCCAGTTTCTCAGGGTCTGTTTATGTCTTTTTCTCTTACTGTGGATTCCAAATGTTGTTTATTAACTCTTATCTCACTTAACTTGACCTTAGTTGGTGAATGAAAAAAAAAATCAACAAAAAAACAGCTCGTTCTTATCAACAGGGCCGTCACGATTACCCAAGTGTGCTCCATAATGTAATCAAAAAACCTTCTTGATTTATCAGCAATGATTAGTGTACAGTGCTCAAAAGTACTCTTGGGATAACTCGGTCATCATTTGTTGTTTTAACTTCTTAAAATGCAGGGGCCTGTATGTGGACCCACACTTCACTTGACCTATTAAATACACTCTACCATCCAACCTTACGTTGCTAGGCTGCATAGGTTTTATGGAATGGTGGGAATCCTATTCAACCCAACGAGAAATTGCAGCAGTCTTTGTTTAGAGTTGCTTCATATCGTTTAGTTTCCTGTTTAAAATGCTACCAAGCTAGACCATGTTGTTGTGGCTAATCAAAACTAGCCAATGACCTTGACAGATTTGCTATCATGCTACTGTTTGTTCTGTATTCAGTCCAGTATCACCTTTCACACGCATGCAAAATAAACATCAATTGAAACTGAGAATTCACTTTAAATTTCGTTACTTTGACAGAATGCCTAATTCTGTGCACTATGATTTCTCATTATGTTGAATATGAGTTTTCCAACTTTAAGCTTTCAATTATTTTTGAGTTTCATTTAGTAAACCTGGTTGCTGGTTTTTAGAACTTTTCAATTAGACACCATAAACAAGATATAAAATGTATTCAGAGAGTGTCTTGAGACTACTTTGGAGCAAAGTATATATTTTACATATAATTTAAATGCTTTCTCTTACAATGAGAGTGTTTTTTAAAGTCTTTTTTATAAGCTCCCTTGTTTATCGTTCACAGTGAAATAATTTGGAATCTGTTAAAGGATAAGCATGTTTTTATTGTTCATTGTTACGTCTATTTTTGTTATTTGGCCTTTTTAAAAGTAATCACTCGCTTACTTGTCAAAATAATTGTTGAATATCTCAATTATTAATATACTTAGTAAAACATACCAGTTCAATGTGAATTGGTATGCTAGAGTTACCTAGAATTAAGCAAGGAGGCATGCGCACACACATACACACATTCTCATACACACACACACACACACACACAGTCAGGGTTAGGAATGATCAGCAGGTTTCCACTCAGTCAGTGCTTAAACCAGATTCCTGCTTGTTGACACATTCCTGGGCCCCAATCTCCTGAAATAAGGTTCACCCATCTAGAACTAGAACCTCTAAATATAATCACAGCCTTCATTCAGGGGCATTTCCACAGGCCCTGATCTCAGGCCTACCCAATTAAAAACGATTATGAAATCTGATCTGTTTTCTGTGAGTGATACTGTTTTATGACCAGTCAATTCATTGCCCCCTCTGATGAACCCCACCTTCTTTTCTTAGCCCTCCAATCGCTGCTTAGCATAATGCTTTCCACTATTGCCTCAAGCCTTCAGTTAAGAGGTTAAAAGTGGGATTCCGTCCTGTAGAGCATGCTGTTTTCTACCCAACCAAAGCAAAAACAAATTTAAAAGTCATTGTTGTCAACAGTTTTCTGCAAATTTAATGCTCTTTTACTACGACAGTTGAGAGCAAACATATAATGTTACTTCAGTGTCATCAAAGACATAAATGGACCATAAACATTTTAATGCCTGCCTGGCTTTGTGCTTTTACCTACAGTGATTAGGTTTTTAAGGTTGCTGTTTTTTTCCCCTTGTCCTCAACAGCTCAGCTTGGGCAAATGTGCCTGTGGTGAGCGGGTGCATGCTTCATAGTGAAGGGTGTTGCACTGTTGGTTAGATTAATGTGAATCCAGTATTCTGGCTTCTTGTTTTTGTTTTGTAGGGTGGAAGGGTGGAAGTGTATAGTAGGGCAAAGACTCTCAGGATTAGGTTTATAGACTTATGTGTATAATTTTAGGACAGGAGCGCATTTGGAAATTGTATCTTTCAAGTTGGCCTACCCACTTTTTCACAGGCCTACCCAAAACTTTATTTCAGCCTACTCCACTACCTTCATCATTATAATAACTGCAAAACAGGTCTCCAATTGAGTATCCTAGTTCTCAGGGAACCCTTGCAGACTTAAGAAGGAACCATCAAAGAATACCTGGGTGGGTTAGTATTCCCTATATCCTTATGCACCGTTTTTACACTAATATTTGGGACACAAATGCAGAGTGTTTTCTGCCTCTAACCCACCTGGACTAGCATATCAAACACTCTTTCTGACTTTCGAATCTGTTGGATTTGAGCAGGGAATGCACACCAATGTGCACTTCATGTTGTCACGGTCATATCAAAATTCTGTAACTGTTTTTTTTTCTTTTTAAGTTTTCACATTTGTAAATGTGGGCTGCCCTTTATATTGTGTGATCATTTTTTTTATGATGAATGGACTAATAGAAGTGGACAAAAATGAGTTTTTCTATGAAGTTACTCTTTCATACCAGATGACAGTGATATGGTGAATTACTGATTTAACTTTTGCCCAAAAAAGCATTTCATCTTCTGAATTTAGTATATCGGTGATCGGTGCTGCAAAACAAAATATGTCACTTTAGGCTTTGGAGCGAGACAGCTGAGAAGATATGATGGTTACACTGGCCCCCGAAGGACAAGCACTTAGATACCCATTTTGAAAAATCAAAAACACGTCTGACTGAGAAGTTTGTAAAGCACAACGCAGCCAATAAGTACTTGAATGGTGACTTTTTTTACTGAGTACTCAAGCACACCAGATTTCAAATGAAATCATGAATGTGAGGTTGTGTGCGGAGTAGAGTGTAAGCTTTAATTGAAGGGTATTGGCATCCATACATGGTAAACTAGGAATCACCCCATTTCAGTAACTGGGCAAATATCTTCCTTGATAACGTTCTGACAGGCCTGCATATGCAGCCATTTCCATTTACTGCTTGTTTCAAAGTCCTTAGTCCTTATCTTCAGTGAGGGAAATAAATACAGTGGAGTTTGGGTCAAGTGACTTATTTGGCCAGTCAAGAACATTCCACTTTTCAACCCCGAACAGCTCCTGAGTTGCTTTAGTTGTATTTCGCAGGTTACTGTTCTGCTGCAAAGTGAACTGCATGAGTTTTAAGGCAACTGGTTGGATCTGAACAGTTAAGATGCTTGCGTACATTTCAGAATTGCATTCTCAGCCACATCATTAATGAGTGAACCAGTTCCACTGGCAGCCAAACATCATGCTTCAGAAGGTGGTCTGTTTTAACCCAAGCGGTTCCTTTTTGTATACTTTCCTGTAGGTTGATCAATTGTCTCAAGGGTACATACAACCTTCACTCTATTTTGCACTCTGAACTCTATAGTCTATTTTTGTACACTGCAAACTGTAATTTGGCCTTTCTGCTCTCGAGGCTTACCACTGGTGTCCATTTTATGGTAAACTCTCTGAGGTCAGGCTCAGGCTGCTGTATTATTTGGTCAGCTCACCAGAGCGTTTATGCTTAGCACAGCACCAAACAGTTTACTGACAGTAATGTTCGTCTCGGTTTCTGATTGCTTTATCCAGATTTTTCAGCCACTTGACGGCCTGCTTTAATGGCACTGTCTGGTTCTCAAAGAATACAACAGCAACAGACTCCAGATGCAAATGCCACATCTAGAATCAAACCTAGACCACTTTCTATGCATAACCTAATGATGCCAAGAACCAACTGGAAGTTAACTGTCCAAGCACTTATGAAATTTAACGACTATACTATACATGGATGTGATTCATATCTCAGTTATATAAACAGACATAAATATACTCTTGATTCAACATTCTGTACTTTAACCTAATAGTTGTTTCATTCTAATCCAACGTGCTGGATAGCACCAAAACAGTAAATTTTGTCTTGATGTCCAAATACTTATGAACTGTACTAAAGCCTTAAAGAACTCTTTTCAACTCAGTAGAATATTCAGTAGAAATAGTTGTCAACATCCAGAAGTCAACAACAAACCTCCCCAGACATTTCTCAGTGCCAAGTTCTTGCAAAGGCCAAATAAACAAATCTGCACTTCCACAACAAACAGATGTGTAAACTGCATCTCCATATTTATGCACCGATTCATAATTTCACATAACACATAAATATGCTGAAGCACCATAAGACTCGGTAGACAAAGTGTAGAAAATCAGATACACGGTTTTAATTAAATACTGCAAAACTGAGAAAAATTAAGCAAATATTTAATTTGTTCTCCATTGTTTTAAAATTGTCTATTGCATTTTAATTATCATGTTATACACAGCACAAAGCAGTTTCCATATATTTTCTCTCTCATTCAAACATCACTGTACAATAAAGTGCTTTGTTAATGACTTCTCTGACCATCTGCAAATATCTCTTGGACACAACAAAGTCTACACTCACTCTCATGATACAGTCTACTTTCACTAGCCAATCTGTCAGCACTTTACTAACAAAGACATTTCACAATACCAACTGGACTTTTTTTGACCCTGGACTCAGTTTTGATGTTTAATTGACATTTGAATTTTAGGAAAAGTATAAGTCAGGATTTCATGTGTTCTTAAAAAAGGAGAACTACTTGAAACATAATCGAAGGCAATATAACTATCATGGAAGATATACATCACATGCTGTATCTTTGAAATAATTCCATATATTTTCCACATAGGTACATTTTCTTTGAACGGTAAAAGGAATTTGACAAAAAGATTTTTTGATGCATATGCTTGTGCTTTGCTGATGTTTTTGATTCTCCTCATAAACTAGTGGTGATGCAAAATGTCACCAACATATTATCACAAATCCTGTTCTGGTAATTTCAGGCCATCTTGGACCATTTTCTCTGGTGGGGTCAAACTAATTCCATTTGGTACACAGACAACATACCAAAATCTCAAGGTGTATTACCTTTATCATCCTACTCTTATCCACCACAATTTCATATTCCTTTCATTTCTTTTACCTTCTGGGAAATGTAGGCACAAGGATAGAGAGGCTGAGTTCTAACAGGGTAGTGATGTACTGTGTGCTGACTTGAGCTATGCCAGTGTACTTTATTGAGCGATGAATATTCAGTTATTTGTTATGACTCTTGGAGTAAGAGATTGTCAGCTCCCTGTTTCTTAAAGGTGACTCAGTCGAGTGCATCGCCACTGACTCTCAGAGAGGCCTCTTAAAGGCATACTAGCACATATCAGGTTCAAACATCACTCAGCCTGTGCTCCCTAACAAGAGAAGGCCATTTAGTTTAAAAGAACATTATTACAGGCAATGGTAAGCCATGAAAGACTAGCTAACATTCTCACTTGCAAACGCACACGCACACATCCATACACAAACAAAATGGTCACATTCAGTGAACCCTGTTTCAACCCTCCTGCTGTACAGCCTCAATGCCTCCTCCATGTGATACACTGGTATGTGTCAGTGGAGGCATGTTTGAGTGTGAAAGCTCAAGTATGGGCAAGCTCTTGCTTTCAGTACCAGCAGTCATAAGGTTCTCTGTTGACTCTGAAATGTCTGCAAACCTTGCCAGATACTGTGTAAAGATCCTCTGTGTTAGTCAGATGTCAGTCTTGGTGAAAACGGTGGTCATTTTCATTTCTTAGTGCTCAGAAGCACTGTCAGTTCTTGGAGGCTGCGATATGGTTAGGATCAAGCCTGCTGATGTCTCCTTCCAACCTGGCAGGGTCCGAACTGAGCTGTCTTCTACATCAGGACGTGCTAATGCATATTAGGAGCATGTGTGACCAGAGAGAATCTGATTTCTTACTATGCAAGAACAGTATCTAATAGAAAGAGGCAAAAAGTCCAATAACGGCCCTTTTTGGCATTTCCGTATTTGACTTCTCACCATAGTGAGAAAAAATCCACAAGTTTTCAGCCCTTCAGTCATGGTCAAGCTGAGTTTTACTGACAGAGTCTGAAACCAATCCATTAGCAATCCTTTGAGTCATCTCAGCCTCCATCCCGGTCTCTCCAACGGCCAACAGAATCTCACCAAAGTGTTTGTGATTGGTCAGTCCGAGGCCAGTAGAAGTTGTTGGGATTATTTGGCTGCATTGACCTTGCTGCCTATCATGCTCACTGTGTCTCCACGTGAAACAGTTGTCCAGATAGCAGCATGCGTAGGCACATACATGGAAGGACACACTGTGCTGCCTGAGCTGGTGAGCGCTTAGGTGTTATCGCTTTGGGTGACTCGCACTTCAACCCCTTTCTGTCCTGTAGCTGAAAAGAAAAGACAAAAGTTAGGTTAGAATTTGTCATGAAATGAGAAGTTGGGCCACACCAAGAAAAAATTGGTAAGGCTGGCTATTGTCCAGTACTTTTTGATGTCAATAACATTCCTCTGCAAAACACCAGATACTGACAGGCAGCAAGAACACACCAAAGATTTGCTTTCAAGAAATCTCAAGAATAATATGGAAGGATGCCTTGATTGTCTTACAGACTATTAAAGGCTACCAGTAAAGTGCTAATATAAACAGTGGCATAGTGCTGTTTACGTCATGGAATAGTTGTGCTCTACAAATAAAATACCATTAACTTGGTCTGAGCCTTAGCCTTCTAGGAAAATGTTCCTGGAACTCACCCAGTCTGTACTTTTCCTTGGCCTCAGCCCGCTCCTTTGCGTCAAAGTACCAAACAGTGATGGCATAGCTATGGCATGAAAAACAAAGAGGTGAGATGAGCTAGGCAGCCCTATTACAACATGCATGCCAGTGAACAACTGGACAAGCAAACTAAAGAAAGCAGGACACTTGTCTGAGCAACTTATTCTAAAACAGAATAAAACTGGCCTCAAAGTGCTGTAAACTGGACTCAAATGAACAGCCAGTTAATGTAACTATGGCTGTAATGATTACTCAATGAAAGTTTGATTACTCAATGAAAAGAAATCATCATTAAATCAGTAAAATTTTACTTCTCAGTGAATTGGTAGTGATTAGCTGGCAGTTTGCAGGATGAATGCATGTGAGTTATTCTCACAAACATGACTAATAATGGAATCCAACTTTATTTTTAGTAACATTTTTCAATTTAATTGACCAAATTCTCACTACTGCAACACAGTAAGGTTTAAAGAATTGTTGCTGGATGAACTATTTTAAAGATAAAGATAATGAAATATATGTATTTTGCAAAATACAGTGAATTGTGATTTTATCTCATTATCTCATTGTGGCACACAAAATTGTGTTTTGGTTCACAACCTTAAAGTTTACAAGGAAAAGTCAGAAGATTAAACAGTTAAAGGTAATACAAACTCATTTTTTTCTGATACATTCTTGATACATTCCTTTATATGCAATTTGTGCCACATACTGCAGACTAGACTAGACTAAACTGCAGTGGCAGTGGTGAAATGCCATTGGACATTCTTTTTAGTCTACGCTTAGGCTTAACCTTTTTTTCCCCTAGTTTATTGTAGTTAGTTTGTTATTATTCAGTTCTCTGCATTTGTATTGTGTGGCCCTTTAAAAACTCAAATAATCAGTAGATCACTTGATCACTAATATAATTGACAGCGACAGCCCCAAATTCAACATTGCTGCTTTTGTAGTAAACAGTTCAGTGAGAAGGCTAGCAGAGCTGGGCTGCTCAGCGGGGCTCATTTGTTTATTCCTGTCTCTCTCCCCTCAATGCATGAGCGCTGATACTGAGCTGCTGGCCTCTCACACTCAGGAAAAGCGTACTTCCTGTGCCCTGCCTCACCCCCCAGCTGTCACCGGTTCACACACACAGGAGATACCTAACCCTACTTCCATTTCGCCTTGCCTACAGCACTCCTTTCCCCAATAACCCTATCTGTGCTCTAGATCATGCAAGTAACAAAGGGATAATGTGTTTTTTTGCCACAATGTTTTTTTTTTTGCCAAAAATACTGTGCAAACACCTTTCAACAGAAGACTCTTCCTGAGGAAGACCTACTGAGACTGTGACTATAGTGCAAGATCAAATAAAGTTTGAGTTTAGAGGAGTCAACACAGGTGGCCGGCTGAGGGCAAAATAAGTAAACATATCCTCTACAGAGAACAGAATCTTTTTTTGTAAATTTTAGAATACATATTTACATAAAATATAAAATGTGTCATTACTTTTAAAACGTGTCATAAACAATAAAGGGCATTACAACATGCAGAAGTGTGTTCTCTGTACAGCATGTGTTAACTTCACTTAGAAATTCAACAAAACATCTCATTTGACCAAAGACACCCAAACTTTTGCATACGACTGTACACACACGTGCAGGTGCAACGCAACATGTACTTAGATGCGACCAGATGTTCCCACAATGCTCTTGAATTTACTGTTTCATTTACTAAGACTTGCAGCTTCTCATGCAAAGTCTGTGTAGCCCCACCCTCTAACTGCTCACTTGCGAGGTGCAGGGTTTATCAGGCAGTGAAATAACGGAGCTGTAAACAAACTCAAGACAAAGCAGTAACAAGTTCAGTGATTAAATCATAGCTGTGTTGTTAAATGAAGTTATTGCCCACCAAAATTCTCTATAGGGATATTATTTCACTCTGGTTAAAGACAGTTTGTGAAACAACAACAACATGGACTGTGCACGCATGTTGCAGCTACATTACAGCATATCTTGCACTGTGTTTTCTCACATATGTACATCAGATACTGAGGGTTTAAAGTTGTATTCTAATAGTAAGCATTTTTCCAGCATATACTTGAGGCTTGTGCCTCTATCTAACCGCTGTGTTTAAGCTCATGCAGCAGTTTTGTACATAACTGTTGCAAAAGGCTTGAAGGCCTGAGTACAGAGAGTGAAACTGAGCTAAAGCCAAGGTATGTATGTGTGTATGTGTGTGTGTGTGTGTGTGTGTGTGTGTGTGTGTGTGTGTGTGTGTGTGTATGAATGAATGTGCTAAGGTCAGCGAGGTGAGAGGTTACGAAGAACTCGTGTCAAGAGGAAGCGTGTGGGTGTGTATAAGGCACGAAACTGCAGCCAGTCGTGGACTACTGGGAAATAAGAACGATGTGGGTGAGTTTTGTTGATTTTCTAAGTGAAAATAAGTTAACACATCCTGTGCAGTAAATAAACTTGTGGTACCTTTTGAAACATTCACAATGTCTACTTATTACTTCAAGCTCCTTTCTTGCAAAAAAGCAAGAGAATTTTGCTAATTTCACCAGAGGCACACAAACTTTTGCCTTCAACTATACATCTTTATCTCAGAAATACTCCTAAAGACACTTTACCTCACACTACAACAGCTGCTAAAAAAACGGAAAAGAGTCTGCAATGTTTTTTTATGCTTCCAGTAGATTTAGAGGATATCATCACTGTCATAACAAAATCTCATGACAGGGGCTCAAATGTTACAAAGCTACGCCGACTGAAAGTCTACGACAGCCAACTCACCGTGTGGCGTAGGCTGGCTTCACCTCATGAGGGTTCCGCCGGTCTGACCAGAAAATGAGCAGACGGTCAAACAGCGGTTCAATGTTAGCAACGACATTTCGGCCCTCTGGGTAGAGCTGCAATAAGCCCCCATGAACCTGGGTATACATACGCACATAGACAACAGACACAAACAGATCACACATCCTGATAAGATGAAGAAATCCTCACTGTAATGTACAGTGCACTCATCTTTACATCAAGTTTCAAATAGCTGCATGCTATCTGATTGCGTGCTATACACTCGTTTCCAGCAGTACAGGCTGGTTTGACATCAGTGAGGGGAAGGCAGGGTAAGATACCGTACCTTCACGTCCCAGTCCTTATTTAGATAGTATATACAGGTAATGCAGCGTCCGTCTCCGTTTGGGTTATCCACGTGACGCACGTATCTTGTGCCGCTGCCAGGGTAACACGCCACCATAGCCTAGGGAGCAAAGCAGAGAGGTCATTCTGAGAAACAGAATCATATCAGGGATGGGGAAAAGATGGGCAACATTTCAGAGACAGCCTTGTGCATTTGTAATTCTTTGTGAAATAAGTCACAAATTATAGCCTTTACTGTGGGACAATATACATCAGATAAATATATAAAAATATACCATTGTGATATTTCAAGACATCTTCACAATGATCAGAATATTTAGTTTTTCTGAGGTTTGACATGTTGGAACATACAAAAAAAGGAACCAACAGTGCCACATTTTAAAATACCATCAAAACTGGGTACAATAGGCCTCAATTTCTTCTTAAACCTCACCTACGCAGTTTACATGAAGATTCTGACATTCCCCAATATTTTCTTATTTGAGATTTTTTCTTAGGTAAGAACAGAATCTGTGCACACTTAAGAGCACAAAGGTGTGAACAATTCTGCAGTTTAAAAACGTCATGAATCTGCCATAGACTTTTCCTTAGGACCTTTCTCAAGAATGAATTTAGGAAAAAACTTAGGAAGATCTTGGTGAATGAGGCCTACAGATTTTTATTCAGCATGACAAATTATACTCTCTTTGTAACTAAACATGCAGTTGGTCAGTGTTCTTTAAATGGGAATTCCACTGATTTCTCAAAATTTCTGCATAATTCAAACGTTGAGAAATACACAAAGTAATTCAAAGTGGTTAGATGTAAAATGGTTTATTGTACAGAAACATACAGAATCAGAATTGTTCACAGTGGTGGTGAACCAGGAAACAAGGGTCACAATGTTTACAGAAGTATAGACATTTTATTTGCTATCTAAAACCACAAGTGAACCTATAACCGTATTCTGAGCTTTTAATGTAATGCTGATGATGGTAAAATAGTGGTAAATCTGAAAAAATGTTTTCTTTGGGGACTCTATTGCCTTATAGCACCCTGCATTTACCTCTCTGCTATAAATGGATTTAAAAATACATGTTTACACCAAAATCTGAAAAATATAATGAATGTGTGTTGAATATAATGAATATAACTATATTGAATGTTTCAGACATCAAGCAGTGCATTTCTTACCATTTTTTGTACTATAGTTCTGTGAGGGAGCTTTTAGAGGCATTACACTTCTCAGATGTCTGGTTCCTATCACCACCACTCTGAACAATTCTGACTCTGTATGGAGAATTTCACATCAAACTTATCTGAATGACTTTGTTTACATCATAAGGATTTGAACATGCAAAAATATAAAAAAAAAAATGTGGAATTCCTTTTTCAAGTACTGGCAATGTCTGCAATATGCTCAGAAAAGCACACTGGAACATAATTATCACAAAAACGATTTTTTGTCATACTGCTCCCCCTAGAGCAGACAGATTAATTGTTTTTATATTGAAATAGCAACTTGAAGGCGTTTTGAAGTTTTTTGTTCTTTTTTAATTTTGTACCTTGTATCTCCAAAGTGATAACTTCACAGGAGATTGGAGAAACACGCTTTATTTTTAATGTAAGTCAAGTCAATGTAACCAGGCTTTTTGGGCCATTTCTTTTGGTCCATTCATCATTAAATTTACACACAATGTAAAGGGCAACAGGCATTTTCAAATTATGTCAACAAAAACAACAAAAATGGAGACATAAGGTTTTGTTCCGACAGCAATGAATATATATATATATATATATATATATAATATATATATATATATATATATATATATATATATATATATATATATACACATACACATACACACACACACACACACACACATCTTCTTGGTAACAGTTTAAATTTCAGTCGCAATAATACTGCATAGAAAATCGCAATTAGATATTTTCCCCAAATCGTTTAGCCCTACTCACCCCCAGAAAATAGTATAAAATACCTTGCTAGGACGCACTGTTTCAAACAGTTTTAAAAGCCACAGACATTTCACTGTAAGGTTTTACTGAGTGGCATTTAAATGTCCCCTAAGATCCCAGGTCTAGACAAGTCGTCAGAGCAGCACAAGGTTGAGTAAGTAGTTTTTTAATTCTATCCTTCTGCTGAATTCAGGGAGCTGCAGTGTGTTCTAAAAAAGGCCAGCGTTAGCAGAGGAGATCAGCTAACATGAGAGGCAATGGGCCACTCACTCACTCACCCAATCTCTCACACTCTCTCATGCACACCAACACGTTATTCACTTTCAAGCCCAGTTCTTCCAAACGTCAGCCAAACCACAAAACACAAGGTAGCTGACCCTTTAAGAGTAGGACTCCCCTGGTTTAAAGCCAGCCCTGGTGTCTAGATGACGATGAATTATTTCTGTCGCACCTGCCTCAGTGCACGCATGCCTGAGCGCTAAAGATAATACACTGTGCCTTTAAGCCATGCCCAGTCACATTCACCTACCATACAACAACAGCCACATCAGCTGGCAGAGAACCTTCTATACCAAACAAACAGAAAAATGTGTAGAACAGACAAAAAAGAGAAAACTGCCCCACACTTTTAGCCCACATATCTCTGGATTTACATTTAACTCCTTCTTAGAGAATATGGTGAAGTCCCACTTTAAACTAGGTCCCACCCAATAGATCAGTTTGCCTACAACATCAGCCAATATTTTTAGTCTCACAAATTTATCGATATCAGCCATAACTGCGTCAATTAAGCACTAAGATTCAGTGACTTGTTTAATGTCAGAATGAACCCCTGGCAAGAGAACAACCATTCAGTTTTAAGTTTCTGTTCTTAATTGACTTTAAGAAATTTAACAGTTGAGAACTGATCGTATCTGACAATTTACACTGGACAACTGAATCATTTCTCAAGTTTTTCATCATCACAAAAATAGGGATTTATGCAAAACATTGCGTTAAGCCCACAACTTAGTTGTGGGCTTAATGCTTAGCTTAAAGCAAGATTATTAGATTCTGGATAACAGTGTCTTCAAAACACTGTAAATTAAATGAAATTTCATTCACATCCAGAGTAATCAACAAGAGTAATCCTGAAACGTATTTTTTTTTACACTGTATGTGATACCACCCTTGTTAGTTATGCTTAAGTAAAAACACTGGTGTATGTTTTATTTATATATTTTGAGTTAAAATTATTACACTTTTTGGTGAGGCCTTACTAAGGTATTCTAGGACTAATATTATATTCTGTCTAACTCAAAAGATGTCTAAGACAAAAGGTCACTTAAAATTGCAAAATGAAATTACTACTGACAATTTAACCTGATAGCTGATATTAATTAGTTCACTTTAAGCCATCTGATGTCTGCATGCAATTACTGTCTTTACTGTGTCTACAACTGCAACATCCTTTTATTAGTCGTGACAGAGGAACTATCCGGAGAATGCATCTTATCTAATATGTTGAAATTCTGTCTGGGGCTGCTTTTATGCAATGTGCACTCCAATGCATGTACTCTTTAGAATGATGGCCACACCAAAGGTCTGGGAGGTTTGGCAGACTGTGGATGGTGTAGTGCATTCCTAGTCAGAGAGGAGGAGAAGGGGCTGTTTCAACAGAAAATTGAGCCATCAGGGTTCCCCGGGTTTCTGCCTGACGCTCAGATACCGTCAGCACTTTATCAAGCCCTAGAGAGAACGCATCATGCCCTCCCCGCCCAAACAAGCTCTCTCACTCTCTGTTATTTCAGCTCTTATCACGCATCGTCCCCTCCCCAATGCAGGGGGGTAAACACAGCGGGTCACATGGACACAACATCTGCACAATGGTCTCTGGCCTCTGAAGAGGAGAAGATATGGTGCACAATCAGTACTAGTTGTACAAGTTTTTTCAGGAGATATTTCTGTGGAGATAAGATATAAGACAGTAAAAAAAAAATTAGAAGATGTAGAGAAAATGGAACTCGTAACAACAGTTTAACATCACCATCAGATAAACAGTACTGAAAACATTCATCTTTGAGAGAGAGGAGAAAATCAAGCTCCACTCTTGCTTCAGATCTGAAAAAATCCACAGGTGTTTCTGTCCATCCTTCCACTGTGAGAAAATAACTCAATGCTCTGAATCTGAAAGGATGTATGCCTGCCAAGAAGCCCTTACTGGGTAAAGAACATTTGCAAATCAAACTAAAATACTGCTGATAGACTGGCCAGACCTCAACATCATTAAATGTGTGTGAGAAGCAGAAAAAGCAACCAACATCTAACACTGAACTTTTAAGGTGTTTATGAGAGGCATGGAAAAATATTCCTGCAGATTAAATTAAAAAAACTAAAATCAAGCCTCCAAAAAAGAATGGAAGCTGTAATAATGGCAAAGTGTGGACACACTAAAACTTAGTGTTTAAAAAGTGTTATATTTACCTGGTAAGGCTTCTGAGCAATTTTCTGTAAAATATATACGGTTTCTAATGCAAAACATTGTATGCTGACAAATGATGCTGATGCTCAAAAATGACCAACTTACTTTATGGCCATTTTAACTAGAAATTCGTAAATTAATGCTAGTCTCTTATTTTTACACAGTACTGTAGGTTTAGACTGACTGTACAAAATCCCCAATTTAAAATTAAAGAAATACTGTGGTTTTGCTTGTCCTCTATAATGTAATACTCCACATTTACTCCAGAACTATATACAAAGCAAGTGAACAGTTCACAAGGGTTCCAGAATAGCATCCAACTTAACACCCAAAATAGCTGAGTGGTGCCCTGCAGTCCAATTAGGAGTGAATTGTAGCCAAAGTGGGGACAACTACACGGCCAGCCGAGTAAATGTGCTTCTTCTGCTTGTGTGGTTCTCCAAGCAGCTATGCTTGTGTGATCTCATTACAGAGTAATGCTGCTCTGTTTTCTGGTGATTAAACTTTGACCTGTCCCAACAATGGGCAGACTGATTCTTCTCTCCCTTATTCATTATTATGAACTGTTTATACAGGCAAAATCAATCACACACACACAGACACACCATGGAGCCAGCCAAGTCTGAATGCTCCAAGAGTGATGAGGGTAGAGACATGCTTCATGCATTTGTGGAGGTGAG